TGTTTATTTGGTTTCAGCAGTCCCTATAGATGGAAGAATGATAAGACGACCGACGCGATGTTTCCAACTTTGGCTTTGTCTCGGGAATACATACATATTTTTCTTTTCTCTTTTCTTTTTTGCCTTCTCTCTTCTCGATTTTTTCACCTCTCTCTTTTAGCAAAAACCCAAAAAACAAAACGTGACGTATGTGATATTATTTTGTTTTTTAATGATTAATTTGTTGAAAAATGTTGATTCTTCTTTCTTTAGTTACTGATTGAAATCTGAAAAACTTTATTAGTTTATTTGATGGAGTCTTCGACCCACTGGTTAAAGATTTTAGGTGAAACCCAATTTCCGTCATAATATGGTTTAACTCTCTCTTTAATTACAATTCTGTAAAACATGTGTATGCGTGTCTAAAATAAATGCACTAGATGGAGTAGTATTTTTTTTTTTAAAGGAATAAGGAGTACTAAAACGAATGTGATAATTAATGGTACAGATATTAAGGAACTTAATGCTAATAAAAGTCTTGATTCTATGATAATGATGCTACTCTTTTAGTCCATAACTTCAATTGCACGCTAAAAGTATCACAATCCACTATGTTCGGTTTGTGTTTCCTGTAACATTAATTAAGAGTTTCTTTTGTCTAATTATGATTTACGGAACTCTGAGTCAATATTGTTTCTTCCTGTTGTAACCCATATATAGTAATTATCTATAATGGACTATCTAACCACCTATTTATCTAACCAATTAAGAGAACAAAAGCTTCATAAAACTAAGTTAAAATACGAAAAATTTGATATGCAATGGAATATACTACAATTGAAAGTTTCACACAAACAAAAAAAGTGTGATAAAGACATATATGAGTGTGCCGGGGTTATATGGGGTGGTGGTGGTTTAACATCAAATTTCGTTGGACGTGGGATAAAATGATATTGTTATCTTATGTAGGGCCTGCGTTAGATAACATTACATTTAGAGTTACGTATAGGACAAAACAAAATTGGAAATGCGACAAAAGATAAGACAAATTTGAGTGTGTGTATTTGAGATTGGCATGCTATTTATATGATAATTACTCCAAATATTATTATTCACTGTCGGCTCATCAACATTTTTATCTCATCTATTTTCTTATATTTTTTTGTGTGGATGAACTTATTTCATGTTTGCTTGTTCATAAATCAAAATCATGAATCGTATTCATTACTGTATGCGTACATACAAATAACAAATCTCTATACCACATTTATTATTTGTGGATCTCGGTGTTGGGAGAATTGAACCATTTATCATCTGTCATAAATTTCACTGCAGGATCTAAATAATAGGTATATTAAATACTTAGCAATGATTTGGTTATTTTACTAATTGATGAAACCTACAAATCAAAACATGTGTATATGTTGAAAATTTATTTTTACTCCCTCCATATCATTAAAATGTCGTTTTGAGGTTTAATTTTTGTTTCATAAGGAGTGTCGTTTTATATTTTCAATACAAATTTTTAAACTAAATCTTCTTTATTATCTCTTATCATTTCAGTTTATTTATAAAATAGAAAAACTTCTTTAATGTATTTATAACAGATATAATAAAAATTCAATTTTTTTTAAAAATTTGTATGAAATATGTTGTAATGATACTTTTTGTGAAACGGAGTGAGTAGTAAATTCTCTAATTTTAACAATTCTTAGTAGCAATAAATTATTTGTATTTGTTTTTTTTTTACACATGAGACAAGGGTATTTTAGACATGAAAATAACTCAATTAACCCTCTCTTTTTGAGATAATTTAGTAATTAAACTCATAATTTGGACTAATCTAATAACTTTTCCATTAATTAATTAGACATTTATTTTCAAAAAAAACTAACTAGACATTATATTAAAAGATATGTTCAAGCTAGTTTTTTTTTTTTTTTTTTTTGTAAACTGTTCAAGCTAGTCTTTGAGTAATAAAATTTATGGTAAGTTAAATGTTACAACCGTTCACAAAAATCAAATGAGAGAAAACAAATATAACAATCCGTTCGGTGTGGACTCCTATAAAGTGTATTTTGTTTAAGTAAATTTACTAAATATGATGATAGTACACAAATTCACCCAAATATATGTGATTTCCATAAATAACTTAACATTAATATGAACATAATAAAATACAATAGTATAGGGAAAGTGCATTCAACAATATCAACGAATGCAAAAATAATGTATATACCATAGGGGTGCAATAAGGATATTTTGAACATTTATAGTTATATATTTGTAAAGTAAGTGAAATTTTGAATTCACGAATTTGAAATCTTCATATTAGAAGGTTCATGACTTTATGATTCGAGGAATAGGAGTGCACTTAAGAGGATGAGCCAAATCCAAGAAAAATCTTAATCCGGAACCTTCTTCCATGTTGACTTTATCTCCTTCGATTTCCCAGTCAAAGCATTGCACCATCACTCCAATTGTGGTTTCTACTAAGGTATAACCAAGATTTAATCCAGGACATCCTCTTCTTCCCGCACCAAAAGGGAGGAACTTTAGTGTTTGCTCTTTTTTCTCGTCCTCTTGTCCTGATCTTGAAGCAGTTAGAAACCTCTCTGGCTTAAACTCATTAGGATCTTCCCAAATATCAGGATCTCTCATTATAGAATAAGCATTGATGACAAGTGATGTTCCCTCATGTATATAGAACCCTCCAATGTTACAATCTTGTGTAAATTCTCTTGGCAAGACCGCTCCCACCGGGTGCAATCTTAGAGATTCTTTGACGACTGCTTGCAAGTATGGAAGTTTTGGTAGATCACTTTCTTGAATCAACCTTGTATTTCCCACCACTGAATCAATTTCTTTTCTTAATTTCTCAAAGATCCTAGGGTTGTTGAAGATTTCTCCCATTGCCCACCGTGTTGTTGAAGAAGAGGATTCACCGGCTCCAAAGAAAAGCTCCTAAAAATTGTAAATTATTATTTAGTATAATGGTACTAATCGTTTGGATCTCAATGAAATATTATAACCAATGATAGGATAACCATTTACCGCTAATAATGCCTTGATATGGTTTCTAGTGATCTTATACTCTGCATTATCGTCTCGATAAGCTGCCATTAAAGCATCCATGAATTCAGTACTTTGATGGTTGTCCATTTTCCCCTCGTACTTCACAAGAATATTTTCTAGCAACTCCTCAAATTTATGTGAAACATCCATAATCTGTTTCTTTAAAAGTGAGATCCCCACCTTCTCAAGCGGCTTATGAAATATTTGTGCCACACAAAACATTTGAGATAAATCAGCTAACTTGATAGAAAATTCTGAGACTTTTGTTCCATCATTGTTCTCTACTGAAAAACTACTTCCAAGGCTCATTTTTCCGAGGGTGTTGTTAACGAGTATCCTTGCTTCTTCACCGATCTTAAGGCTTTGTTTTTTCATCGCCTTATCGAGTATATTTCTATGAAACCTTTCTAGCTCAGCTACACGAACACCACGTGTCCGCTCTAGCGCTTGGGGTCCGAGCGCCCTAGCCATGATGAGCTTCCTCATGAATTTCCAGTAATCTTCAGATGGAGCTCTGAAATATCCAGAAGAACCAAACACAATGCATTCATCGATTGCAACATCACCTCGATAAGAGACTTTAATATCGTGTGCCTTGAAGATATCATAAGCCGCTGAGGCAGAGGACACAAGAACAATGGGAACATGAAAAATGCGAAGATGGAGAAAAGGTCCGTATTTGGATGAGATTTTTTGAAAACACTTGTGGATTGAAGCAAAGAGGAGAAGGTGAAGATGACCAATTATGGGAAGAGAAGGAGGGCTTGGAGGCAAATCAAATCCATCATTTGGTTTCTTATAGAATAAAACAAAGAGAAAAAGAGTTGAGATGAGGAATATGAGAGTAAAAATAAAACAATTTAGAAGATCAAAGCTAACCATTACTGTCATTGTTGCTCATAAGCGATGAGGAGGGAAATACCTTAAAACCATTTATATAAGAAGTTGAAATATCTCAAAAGTATATCAAATGTTGCTTGTATATACAATACTCCTGAAAAATTTATAGTTTTATGAAATAATTCCAAGGTGACATTGTTGTGAAATTATATATAAGAGGACATCAATCACACGTAATGGAAGATATTTGATGGTTTCTCTTTCAATCAACTAGCAACAAGTTTTAGGATGATAGAGACTTGCTTACAGCAATTTAAAGGCAGAAGTTTGCCGCTATATATTGTACACTTGTTGTGTACGTAATATTTGAAATGTCGATCTTATAGGATACACCTATCGAAATCCGTTTAGTTTACCATACATAATTTCTAACAACTTGTATCGCGTGTTTACCATACTTGGAATCAATCCATCTCCAAAATTTCACTCATCTATCTCTTTAAATATCATTCAAAGGGTATGTTGATTCAAGGGATGCTTTTCTCAACCGATACATATGTTAGAACATACGTTTTCTAACTAACACATATGTAGGCAAAATATGTGTTGTTCTTTTATGAGTTTATTATTTTGTTAAATTAATATTAACTAAAATCAAATAAAAAAATTCCAACTGATAAACTAATATTAGGATTATGAAAGTAAATGTAATGATTCTCATAAAATTGTAGAGATGGATTGATTATAAAAACAAATATATACACACAAATTTATAACTAGATTCAACAACGTATCCATGTAAAAAATTCTTGAATACAAGTATAGTTAGTGCAACTCTTTTTCACATCCTATAAAATAGCTAAAGATGTCGTTTAGCCATAAAAACTTACGTAAACCAAGTTGTGAAAATAAGAACACAAGTGTACACACAATTTGTTTCGAACGATACATTTTCACGTCTTCAAATTTTGTTTAGTGCATCAATCTATATAAGATTTAAAAACCTCAAAGAACTCTTCTTATTTGACCCCAAAACGTTTTTAACACTATGAGATCTCTAAGATAAGCAATACTAATATATATACTCATGACTCTTGCTTAAAGAGGTGAACTAAAGGAGCGCCAACCAAGCTACACCATTAGGCAATATGTTTCCTTACGTTTTAGGGTTGTTAATTTTTCTTAACCCTTAACCAGTTTGTGCCTTCTTTCCCTTTGCAATACATTGCATTAGAAAATATTACATTCATCAATAACTCAATATTTTGATATCTTATCATATCTTCCAAATATTTTCATGTTTTGTTTGCAATTTTTTTGTAAATATTGTTTCTTGTATCTTCAAACAAATTATACATTTCAGCATGTTTCTACATGCTACCTTATATTCTCTTAATACAATGCTCCTAATACTCTTTAAGACGTGCATAAATTTTAAAAACTGCATTAGAATTAATTTAATTCACATCGACTTTAGACTACGTTCCAAGTTTCCAACACATTCTGTTTTAAAAGTTTTGTTATGTTTAAACAATATTTGTACTTTACAACTTTACAAACGCCGATAATAAATATGACTGTCGGAATATTTTGTCATTAAATTGTCTCCAAATAAAAACAAAAATTTCAGATATCTACATTTCAAATTTAATGTTTTACCGAACCTTCTTTTACCCTTGCCATTCTAAAACTTTCACATTTACTCTACTAACTATACTAATTTTTTAAAAAAACACTTAATCTGCTAAACAACAAAGTACAAAAAAAGAAGGTTTCCATAGGGCTATTTTAGCTAGATCATCATTATTGGTAACATTCTCTTTTATAATCAGCATAATCTTAAAACAGATAAACAGAGGATAATTATACAATGTTGGAAACTCGACATAGATACTAATTATTATTTTTTGGTAGGAACATAGATACTAATTATTGCAAACGAATAATTAGAGAGAATCGTTATAGAAAAACAAAACAAAACAAATGAATGATGTAGTAGAAAACAATGATTTTTATAGCATTCTCAGTCAGAGTCACGATAATTCACCTGTCTCCGGTCAACGCTTTTTAGACTCTCTCCTTCTTATTATTCTCTTCTTTCAAAGCACTCTCTTCTTCATACTCTCTTATCTCACTCTCTTCTCTCTCTCTTTCCTCAACACAACCACCGTTGCTTCACCGCCGGAGAAGAAGAAAGATGTATCTTCTCTTCCTCTTCTTACTTTTTCCCACCGTCTTCTCTCTCAACCAAGACGGTTTTCATTCTTCAACAAGTCAAGCTCTCTCTAGACGACCCTGACTCATCTCTCTCTTCCTGGAACTCCAACGATGATTCTCCTTGTCGGTGGTCCGGCGTTTCTTGCGCCGGTGATTTCTCCTCCGTCACTTCCGTTGACCTTTCCAGTGCTAATCTCGCCGGACCTTTTCCTTCCGTCATTTGTCGTCTCTCTAATCTGGCTCATCTCTCCTTGTACAATAACTCCATCAACTCTACGCTTCCTCTCAACATCGCTGCTTGTAAGAGTCTTCAAACTCTCGATCTCTCTCAGAATCTCCTCACCGGTGAGCTTCCACAAACTCTTGCCGATATTCCGTCCTTGGTGCACTTAGATTTGACCGGTAACAACTTTTCCGGTGACATTCCGGCGAGTTTCGGCAAATTTGAAAACCTTGAAGTTCTCTCTCTTGTCTACAATCTCTTAGACGGCACGATTCCTCCGTTTCTCGGCAACATCAGCTCCTTGAAGATGCTGAATCTTTCGTATAACCCGTTTAGTCCGAGTCGGATCCCGCCGGAGCTCGGAAACTTGACGAATCTCGAGGTTATGTGGCTCACTGAGTGTCATTTAGTCGGACAGATCCCTGACTCGCTGGGTCAACTCAGCAAACTCGTTGATTTAGACCTTGCGCTTAACGACCTTATAGGTCATATTCCTCCTTCGCTCGGTGGTTTGACTAACGTTGTTCAGATTGAGCTATACAACAACTCGTTGACCGGAGAGATTCCACCGGAGCTCGGGAATTTGAAGTCGTTGAGACTTCTCGACGCGTCGATGAATCAGTTAACCGGAAAAATACCAGACGAGCTTTGCCGTGTGCCGTTGGAGAGTTTGAATCTCTACGAGAACAATCTAGAAGGTGAACTTCCGGCGAGTATAGCGTTATCTCCGAACTTGTACGAGCTAAGGATCTTCGGAAACCGGTTAACCGGCGAATTACCAAAAGACCTCGGGAAAAACTCGCCGTTGAGATGGTTGGATGTTTCGGAAAACGAATTTTCCGGCGAGTTACCGGCGGATCTGTGTGCGAAAGGGGAGCTAGAGGAGTTGTTGATTATACACAACTCTTTCTCCGGCGCTATACCGGAGAGTTTCAGCGATTGCAAGAGCTTGACACGTATCCGGTTAGCGTATAACCGGTTTTCCGGTTCAGTTCCTACCGGTTTCTGGGGATTGCCTCATGTTAACTTGCTTGAGCTCGTCAACAACTCGTTTTCCGGTGAGATTTCAAAGTCCATTGGAGGTGCATCAAATCTCTCGCTGTTGATTCTCTCCAACAATGAATTCACCGGATCGTTGCCGGAGGAAATTGGGTCGTTGGACAATCTTAATCAGTTGTCGGCAAGTGGAAACAAGTTCAGTGGCTCGTTGCCTGATAGCTTGATGAAGCTTGGGGAATTAGGTACTCTTGATCTTCATGGTAATCAGTTTTCAGGGGAGTTAACTCCTGGAATCAAATCTTGGAAGAAGCTAAACGAGTTAAACTTAGCCGATAACGAATTTTCGGGTAAAATTCCTGATGAAATCGGGAGTTTGTCAGTCTTGAACTATCTTGATTTGTCTGGTAACATGTTTCTCTGGCAAAATCCCGGTTTCTTTGCAGAGTTTGAAGCTAAACCAGCTGAATCTGTCGTATAATCGGTTATCGGGTGACTTACCGCCTTCTTTAGCGAAGATATGTATAAGAATAGCTTCATTGGGAACCCGGGATTGTGTGGGGATATCAAGGGATTGTGTGGCTCTGAGAGTGAAGCTAAGAAGAGAGGCTATGTATGGCTTCTTAGATCGATTTTCGTACTTGCTGCGATGGTGTTTGTTGCTGGTGTTGCTTGGTTCTACTTCAAGTACAGGACTTTCAAGAAAGCAAGAGCTATGGAAAGATCTAAGTGGACTCTAATGTCGTTCCACAAACTCGGGTTCAGTGAGCACGAGATTCTCGAAAGCTTGGATGAAGACAATGTGATTGGAGCTGGAGCTTCGGGTAAAGTGTACAAGGTTGTACTCACCAATGGAGAAACTGTTGCGGTTAAGCGTTTATGGACAGGTTCTGTTAAGGAAACTGGAGATTGTGATCCAGAGAAAGGTAACAAACCTGGAGTTCAAGATGAGGCCTTTGAAGCTGAAGTTGAGACATTGGGTAAGATTAGGCATAAGAACATTGTGAAGCTTTGGTGCTGTTGTTCCACAAGAGACTGCAAGCTCTTGGTTTACGAGTACATGCCTAATGGTAGCTTGGGAGATTTGCTTCATAGCAGTAAAGGAGGAATGTTGGGATGGCAAACAAGGTTTAAGATTATCTTAGATGCGGCTGAGGGGCTTTCGTATCTTCACCATGATTGTGTTCCTCCGATTGTGCATAGAGATATTAAGTCAAACAATATTTTAATCGATGGCGATTATGGTGCAAGAGTTGCTGATTTTGGCGTGGCTAAAGCAGTCGACTTGACCGGAAAAGCTCCTAAGTCGATGTCAGTGATTGCCGGTTCATGTGGTTATATCGCACCAGGTTAGTCTTATGATTCAACTTAAATGTGCTTTGATTAATCAACAGTTTCGCTTAAGGTAGTAATGCTCATTTGTACATGTTGCACGGAGATTCAGATGGAACCACATTTAAGTTTTATTGGTTGAGACTTAAATGAGCATTCACTATCTATTGAGACATGTCTGAAATCATGGCTCCACACCTTCTCACTTGTCCCTTAATGGAATTTGAAACTTTTTGTTTGTTTGTTTGTTTCCCTCCATAACTTTCATTTCAAACTACTTGCAGAATACGCATACACGCTTCGTGTGAACGAGAAAAGCGACATCTACAGTTTCGGGGTAGTGATCCTCGAGATAGTAACTAGGAAACGCCCGGTTGATCCAGAACTTGGGGAAAAGGATTTGGTGAAATGGGTTTGCACTACATTGGACCAAAAAGGCATAGACCATGTGATAGACCCGAAACTCGACTCTTGTTTCAAAGATGAGATAAGCAAAATCCTTAACGTTGGACTCCTCTGCACAAGTCCGTTGCCCATTAACCGACCTTCCATGAGGCGTGTGGTTAAGATGTTGCAAGAAATTGGCGGTGGAGACGAGGACAGCTTACACAAGACAAGAGACGATAAGGATGGCAAATTAACACCTTATTACAACGAAGAAACCTCAGACCAAGGAAGTGTAGCTTGAGACACAAATGAAGAAAAAAAAAAGTGTTTTTGCCCAAAAAAGCTCTCTCAATTTTTTGGTGCTTGAAGCTGTGAATTAGGGCATTGAATCAAGATTCTCTCCCTCCCTTTTTTAGGGTTTTGGTCTAAAACAGAGAATCAGAGATTGTTGAATTTTTATAATATATAAAAGTTTCTAATTCAGTGTTTCAGTTTCTCCACTGTATAAAGCTATATTAGTAAACTCTGGTTTTGTAAGAGTTTTTATTTTTAATGAATGCAAATGAAGAAAAAAAACGATTTTCTGGCGTTAACATGCATTAAAATAGTTTCCATATTTGGGGTAACAGATTCAAGGTTCTTGTAGGAACATGTCTGTTTGAATCTTTTAAAGCATTGGGCTCTCTCTCTCGTTTTTAGTGAACTCTTGGAGGCTCGTGTACAGTGTTATGTCACTGTAGATTCACATGGCTCTTAAATTCTCAACTTTTTCAAACCAATTTTTCTATTTATTTTTAATTTCAGGTTGTGTTACTTATTTCCTTTACTTACTCTCTCCGTACATGAGCCTGAGCATCAGACTTGACTAATATCAACTTTCCTGCTAAAGATCTTTAACTCTCGGATACTTGTGTGAAGTCTGATTAGTATAATAAACTACGTATGTATTTTTGATATCTCATTCAATAAAACAAATAGAACAAAATATTCTTGGATTTCGACAACTATTTTTATTTTTTAACAAAGATATATAATTCCAAAAAGAGAAAGGAAAAAAAGTAGTTAAGTCATCTAAATCGACCGGTAGTGATTAGGTAAACCGTAAACGTTTAACTTCCTGATTGCAATTAAGTTATGACGTTAAAAACTAAAAGATAACTTCTATTGTTTGATAGTACAAAACAAAAACTTTGACATCTGACCACATTACCTAATTAAGCTTTATCTAAGTAGAGAATTTTACATTAAGGTTATTAGATAGGTAAGAATCTAAATATGAGCTGTTGGGTGAGGAAATTAAAAGTGGGTCCAATAAGCATTGAAGCCAGCCCACATTGTTATCATTCAATTAAGGGACATAGACACCTCACCTTCATCTTTTGCCTTGTCTCTCTGTCTCTTTCACTCTCTAAATCATTTCTCAATTTTGTTTTCTTTGTTTTTGCATTTCCTTTTTGTTTATTTTGTTCAACTTGTTTCATGATGAGGTTTCATAGAGAGATTCTACATAACTTGTTTGTTTTTGCTAGAACAAGTATCACTCTTTTTCCATTCTATTTTGATAGTTTTGTGAAGTTTCTTTTATATGTGATGCAACTTTGTTCTAGTAATTTTGGTATAGTAGTCTTGCTAGTGGTTGGTATAATATGAGTAAGATAGTTCGTGGGTGGCATAATTATTTATAAGAAACAAAGTATTATAATGGAAAGCATAGTAGGGACTAAGGGACCAAAGTTCAATAGATAAGGTCAGGATTGCGAAATGATCATGTACATCATTAATACATATGAGAGTAATTGAGTGTCATTATGACCCACACCACACGGTACACACTCGCACCTTACGACCTTAGGGTCATATGGCTTTTAAATGGGCCTATCGGACCCACATTGTTTCCCACATTTTTGAATAAGTCTTACATATCGACTATTCTCTAATTTGTCAAAGGCCCATTACAAAAACTAGGAAAGACAAAAGACGATTTTGGTCTATGTTTAAAAGTTTTTTGAAGATAATACATGTATGGGATAAACAACAACAACTTGCCAAGCTTCTTAAGAACTTGTAAAATGTTTGAAAACTAGTGAAAAAAAGTTTCTGAAAACTGTTTAGATTTATAAATATTTTCACAATTTTTAATAATTTTAACAAGTTCGTGTTTTGCATCATTATCTACTCGTGATATATAATATCCACTATATAATTTCTGTCACACATGAAATTGTTAGTTTATATTGTAATTCCGTAAAGTAAGAAAAAAAAATTTAGTTACTAAATGAAATAAAATAATTTTTTAATGTTATCTACCTAATTCCCATGCTTTATTATATTTAATTATTTCATACTACATGTGTGAAAATTAAAAAAATTTACACTAATGGTAAAAAGTATAACTATTAAGAATTACGGACCAACAATTATAACTCAGAAGTTTTTAAAATAGGATTTTTTATTATGATTGTGTTTTCCAACTTGTAACGAATATGACACATTTGATAAGGAAGCAGGAACAAAAGTTTGGACTTTGAGTGGGCATATGGTAAATTCTAGGCCTGGGCAAATAAACCGAATTGAAACCGAAACAAAAAAAAACGAACCGAACCGAACCAAAAATTTGAAAATAACCGAATGGATACTAAATTCTATAACCGAAATAACCGTAACCGAATCGGTACCGAACCGAAATATTTCGGGTAACCGAAATACCCGAAATACAATTAATTTTTTCAAAATAATTAGTTATTTATAGACCAAATAATCAAAAATACTTGAAAAATATATAAAAATAGTAAAAATACTCGAAAATAACCGAAATATATCCAAAAATTTCCGAAAATACTCAAAATAACCGAAATATCCGAAAATATCCTAAGCAAAATAACCGAATGGATACTAAATTTTAAAACCGAAAGAACCGGAACCGAACCGAAACCGAACCGAAATTTCAAAATATCCGAATGGATACTAAATTTTGAAACCGAAAGAACCGAAACCGAATGGACCCAACCGATAACCGAACGGTTAACCGAAAGCCCAGGCCTAGTAAATTCTGAAACTAGCTCGCTGTTTTCTTTCTTAAAAGCCTACAAAGAATTAAAAACTTAAAAACCAAAGCTGCTTTCATTTTATTTTCTTCTAAAAAACTAGGGAAAAAAAAAGAGAGAAAACGTTTGACTTACTTATATATATACTTTTTTTTTCAACTAAGACCATGGGCAGTGGAGAAAGTGTGAAAGTGGGTGTAAACTTTTTATTATTATTATAATTTAAAGAGAGATAGAAAAGAGAGAGAGAGGGAGAGTGTGTGTTACACCCGAGTGTAAAGTTACACCCGGGTGTGAAGAGAGAGACAATTTTCTTCTTTTTTTATTACCTCTAACACCCTTCAGCTTGCTCCACTGCGCATGCTCTAAGAGGTGATCCCAAGTTTTTACCATTTGATTAATTTTGTCTAGGATAAGTGTAAACATCAAATAGTGTACTCTTCAAATTTTCTAATAGACTCAAAATTTTGATACCATTTTATTTTAATTAAAATGGAGTGATTTTAATAAATTTCACGATTGAGAAAATTTATTTCTGTCCTAAACCTACATAATAACTCCTCCTTAAATAAACCACTACTGCTACTATTTAGTTAACGCAAATAAACAGAATCCCCATAGCATTAACAATAAATATTTGATACTTGCTAGGACATAACTTTGGTGAGACCATTTTGACTTTTCGAGAAGTTATAGTAATACTAATATATATGTAAATTTTGATAATAGGATCTTTGTTACTTAAATCTATTTCTTATAAAACATTAAAAACAATAAAATCGATTGATTATTTGATATAAAATTCTAATGACATATTTGTAAATAGAATACAATTTAATAGAAGTATAGTATATACTGGATGAAAAAAACAGATCTATTTGAAAATTAAAATTGATGAAATATACAAAATTAATCATTTCTAAAAGCTTTCTCAGTAAGCTGTTTCGTTTCTTTGCATTTGTCTTTTTCATTTACTTTTGGGCTGAGATTATTAGTTTCTTGTTGAAGAAGCTTCGCATCTCCATCGAGGATCATGTGTAAGGACTCGACTGCTTACGCAAATAAACAGAATTCCCATAGCATTAACAAAAAATATAAACATCTTTTATCAATGGTTGTACCATTCTAATTATAGATCGTTTCAAAATATTGTGGCGAGCTAAAAAAATTCAATATTAGGGCTATCTTAAGACAAGATTGAGAAAAATATATACAAATTAATAACTATTGGTGAAGAATCCGTTGTCAACGAGCCAAAATATGAGAATTTTGGGTATAGGTTACTTGCTTAACACGAGAGTTTGTTCTGTGCGTGAAGATATGGTCTTATTGCTTCACCAAGTTGGTCCAACATATACATTCGATTTCTATAAGTAAAATTATAGGTGGTGTATATGCTCTAACATTTATCTTTCTCTTTTTTTTTGCTAAGAATGTAAATTTTTCATAAAAATTAAAAACGATTTAGATTTAGTTCTAACATTTATCTTTAATCTATTATATATTTTCTAAATGAATCCTACTATATATATCTTTACGTGAAATATTGATAGTCGGGCATAACTTAACGTTTTCCATTGCATAATTCATCTTACGATCTTGTTCTTGGATTTTTTTTTATATAATATAATCTGTTAAAGGATTAATCAAGATCATGTTATGGCATATGATATCTTGAATACAAAATAAATAAACCTGGCAAAAATTAAAATAGTTAGGAAAAGAAAATGAGTTTCAATAACGACACTCCATCTTTCGTCACCTTTCTTGATTTTGAAGAGATTAGCTTTCTCTTCTTCTTCTTTTTTTCTTTTATAAACTCCAAATCTTGATTTAGTTTAATTTTCCCTTGAAGGGTTTTTCCTAATTGTGGTTGGATCCCATAGTTAAATATTTTCACACAAGTCTAGCTATAACACATTCAATATTTGAAAACTAGAAAAAGTGAAAAATGGTTCAAAATAGTCAATTCATAATCAAAATTTGGAAAAATGCATTTAATAATTATTTGTTGCAAACGTATGTATATACACCATTCATAAACTTGACGTCCACGCAACCTCCAAAAAATATTATTTTAGTACACCATTTTAATTTAATATAGTATAATTAAATTTTAGTTCCAAAACTTAACATTCACTTGCCCCTCTTTCTATATCACCTCCTCATCTTTAGCTCTGTCTCTCTCTCCCTCTCTCTTGATTTTATCGTTTGATAGTTCTGATTGTAATTAGATTTTGTAGGTCACTGTATAGAGAGATCAGTAAAATAAGAAGGATGAGTTGGTGTGATGGTTCAGATGATAACTACGATCTTAATCTTGAAAGAGTATCAAACATTGATCATCCATCGGTTCAACTCAAAGACCAATCTCAATCATGTGTCACGAGCGGTCCAGATTCCAAGATTAACGTTGAAACTCCCATCATGAGTACTTGTCCTTCTTGTGGACACAAGATCCATCACCAAGACGACCAGGTTACATATGTTAATAGTTGATTCACCTAAATGTTCTCTATTTATCAATATTATTACTTTAGATTTTGACATACATATAATGAAAATAAATGAAATTTGATTAAGGTTGGTGGCATCAAAGATTTACCAAGCTTACCGGCAGGAGTCAAATTCGACCCGTCGGATAAAGAGATCCTTATGCATTTAGAGGCGAAGGTATCATCAGATAAGCGAAAACTTCATCCCTTGATCGATGAATTTATACCTACGCTTGAAGGAGAGAATGGAATTTGTTATACGCATCCTGAGAAACTTCCTGGTACGTAACGCTCCTTTTCTAATAATACAGAGCAAAGTATAAATAGAGAGAATTAATACTACGTATCCCTTAATACTATTGACCAACAAGGAGAATTATCCAAAAAATGACAATTTTGGTTATTGTGATTTCCATTTAAGATTTGGGTCAAAAGTAACACATGTTTGCATACGGATTCTACACAAACACTCTTGGCTTTACCCGTTTATATTAGAGTTTTCGGTTTTAAAGAAATTTGTAGAGACACATATATTTTGGTTTAATTACAAAAAAGAAAAAAAAAAGATTGTTAGATTTGATAAAATGTAATATTTATTCAGAAGGGTAATGGTTGGTTTTATCACAAAAACAAATGATCACATGCATATAGCTAGTAAAGTTTTGTGAAATAGCATTGTCTCTAAAATTTTGGTGTAGATTATAAAAGTGAAACCATCAAATCCAATGAGATTGGTGATCAGATCAACATATGCTTAACTTAAGTACATCTTGTCCCAAGTAGGAGTAAGCAAGGACGGTCAAGTACGGCACTTCTTCCACCGGCCATCAAAGGCTTATACGACGGGAACACGAAAACGTAGAAAAGTGAGCACAGATGAGGAAGGACACGAAACACGGTGGCACAAAACGGGCAAGACTCGACCTGTTTTGTCTCAATCAGGAGAAGCCGGTTTCAAGAAGATCCTAGTGCTCTACACCAATTATGGTCGCCAGAAGAAGCCTGAGAAGACGAATTGGGTGATGCATCAGTATCATTTAGGTAGCAGCGAGGACGAAAAAGACGGTGAACCTGTCCTCTCTAAAGTCTTCTACCAAACACAGCCTAGGCAATGCGGTGGTTCGACTGAACCTAAACCGAAAAATCTCGTAAACCTAAACCGGTTTAGTTATGAAAATATTCAGACGGGTTTTGGGTATGAACGTGGAGGTAAAAGTGAAGAGCCGACGACGCAGGTAATTCGAGAGTTGGTGGTTCGTGAAGGCGATGGGTCATGTTCGTTTCTTAGTTTTACTTGTGATGCAAGTAAGGGTAAAGAAAGCTTCATGAAGAATCAATAGAACATAATATATATAAATGGCGAGGTGCTTTGTTGGAGTAAAGATGAGGAAAAGAATGAGAGAGCACATATTCTTTGTGTGTAGGTGTTGGGTAACTATCATAGTAATCTTTCTCAAAGCTTTTGGGAGATTTTAGGATTTAACCTTTTTTTATGATTAAATTGGGGGCGTAACTTTAACTTCGAGACATTACAGATCTTTGTTTTTATTTCTTTACTTCTAGATAAAATATGTCAAAACAATATATACTAGCTCTTCTTTCAATTATTGTAACAAATTTCAGTAACAATGAAATTATAAAACAAATAATATATATGAAATTTAGTAATTTGTTTTATTAGTAAGAACGTGTATATGGATTATGAGTTTAGCATGAGATGTTTTATTTATTTTACTTCATAAGATGACAAACGTACGACATCAACATGTGACTCGATTGCTTTCTTCCTGACATGCTTTTATTATGGTTACTATGATGCACAAGATGTTGAGATTAAACCGTCCATTAATTTGAAGCATTAAACGAGTATACGAATTCACCTTTGTTCCAGCAAATCCTACAGTGACTCAACGTAAGCTTTACAAAGAGAAGAAGACATACAAATCCAAAGTAAAAGCTTGTTGATTATAAGCCTTACCAAACACCATGATCCCAAAATTCATGAATATAAGATTGATTAAACATATTTAAGAGTCTAATTCAAACACATCTTGAATCTAAGATAGTAAACAAGATTAGAATGAAAATATTAAACACTAATTTACAATCTCGTTGCAAATACATCACTGTTGATACCTTCTAGCTTTTCTTCATTATCCTGAATGTATTCTTTGTTGTTTCCACTCAGCTCTAATTCAATCGTCAAAACATGCTTGAGCTTTAGAGAATCTGGACTCGTTTTCTTTATTGAATATCGTCTAAAATCTAAAATTTGACCATTTATATGTTTGGACACATTTCTCGAGATTAAAAAAATCTTTTAAACTAGCAGATCCATTTCTATCTCACTTAAGAGTATAGGATTAAAATGGAGAATACAGTGAGTCAATAAGACCAATTAAATTATTGGGTACCATTTTTCTACAAATTAACTAGTACAATCTCTAGCGAATTTCAACTTAAGATTTTTGACGTTTTTATTTATTTTGTTATATACATACATAGTAAACAATCCAATTATAAAACTAAACCGATCAATAACCATTACCGAATCAAGATTCTTAATTAAAAAAAATAAAATTTGATTACAATATTCACAACCACAGAGCCCCAACCTCCTTAAGAATTGGAACTAACTCACCGGAGATATGAGTGGCCATAACTCTATCTAATCCTCCAAACAACCTCCCTCCTACATAAACCGCCGGTAACTTCACCGTGTCTCCGCCGCCAATCCTCTCCAACTCACGCAAGACTTCCTCTTCCTTCTCCTCTTCAATCTCAAGAACCGCCGGATTCACTCCAAGTCCAAGAAGCAGCCTCCTCACCACGTGACACATGCAACATCCTCTCCGTCCAATCACAATCACCGCGTTCTCCTCCACCACCGCCCTAACGCTCTCGCCGTTCCCCTGCGTTTTAAGCGGTAGTGGCCGCAGAGATTCACCAACGGTGGTCATGTTATAATTTCTTGCACAAGAAATCGTTCCTTGCATTTTCAAGTATGTTTTAAAGATAGATACCAATTAGGAAATGGAAGGTTCTGTTATATATAGTATATACATGAAGAAAGAGAGACAGAGAGAAAAGTCTAGCGTCAACGATGGTTACGTAAGGATCTGCGTCACAAGAAGCTATGAGTGATGCTGTTTACGTCACCGGATTGGAGTGGACTTAGTCATAGGACCGTGTCGTTATATCGTATCACATGTTTCACGCTGACTTTTTGGATCCCACTTTATTCTTTTAATAGAAAATCAGCACGTTTTTTTATTTTGTTTCCTTTCTCTACGTGTTGCATAATTGCATTACATAATATTTTACTGTTTTTCATATCAATAAAAAAAAAAAGGAGAATCGTTCTTTTGGGTCAAATTAACAGAATAGTTTATTACTATTTTTGTTGTTTTTTTCGATAGATGGTTGTATACTTGGAAATATTCGCATGTGACCACATAGTGGATGCTTGCTTCTTTGGATCTCGACCATCAAAACAGAATCACAGGACTATATAACAATTTTGGTCGCTAAATATACTATAGAGACTAGAGAGACCTAATTATCTAAAATTTCGATATTTTCCCATTTTACCAATCAAGTTTAAAATAGCACTACAAGAAAATAGCACTATTGCAACATATATTTTGCAACGTTCGGTTTTGTTGAAATTTTGCGATAGATTTTGCAATATTTTTGCAATGGTGAATACACGTTACAATTTTATTACAAATTCATTGCAATATTATAACGAAAACTTTTGTTGTAAATTTCCATTACTAATTTGCAATTTTTTTACAACATTTGAAAATTTCTTGCAAATTTTACAAGAAATATTCAACAATATTAGGTCGTAGCTTTTTTGCGAGTAAGTTATAGTAAAAAACATAGCACATTTGTAACTATATTTGCAGCTTTTTTAGTAGTTGCAATATTTACTTTCTCTAAAATTGTGAACAAAAACTAGAATATTTTTATCCTAATAAAAAAAAATCTATTGCATATTTAAAAATTGAAACTAGCGTGATTCGTTTAGTGGGTTTCCAATTTTTAGGGTAAATGGGTGGAGATTATAACCATATTTTAGTTCAATTGTGGTTAAGTTAAATTTGGTTCAGATTTAAATCAACTATAATAGAATGGAAAATTGATTTGATGATTAATGTTATCTATATATACTATATGTATATAACTATATATATATGCATTTTCAATCTATTTAGTTTAAAATATTTGTTAAATTTTATATTAAATAACCTAAAACTGAATCTCAACCGAATCCAAATCGAACTTGAACCGAACCCGAAATCTAAGCAACTAAACCAAATTTTGACATGCTCTTGAGTCTTGATATAAAATTGAAATTAACGTTCTTTTGACACTTTGACATATATGGTATTATATAGATTCGTCAAGTGTATTAAAAGTTAAAAACATAGTTTACTCTAGATTAAATAAACAATATTATTATGTCTATGGAAAAATGGTAAATTATGCTATTTGGCATTCTCTCTTCTTTTTCCCTGCTTTTATTTCCGTTAACTCCAAATCTTTGGATAATTCCTGTTTTTGGGATAAGTCTTAACAGTTACAAAAACCAACAAATACTCTCGATCGTTATATATATATTTTTTTGCTAAATATCGTTATATATTTTTAATATATGCCTTTTTTTGTTATCTTACTAGAACCAACAAATATATTTTAGAATCTTTTAAGTATCGGAACAACTTTTTAACCACCAAATACGTTGACACCTCGATTAAAAGCTTGATCAACACCAAGCCCAACACCACATAATCAACAAAATAGAAAATTAATATTCGAGAAGTTAATGCTTTCTTTGGGAAAACTTGACGAGAGTTATCATACTCTTTACGTACGTAGAAGAACAGAGTTAGTGTTAGGTATGACACCACCATGGGTGACAGTAATTCTAGTAAGAAGTTTTCCCGATTCGTCATCTTTCGTGAAGGAAGATGCCTTCGAATGATCCAAGATTTTATATCGCCTCCCGCAGTATTATCATTCCGACAAAGGTACCAAAAACAATACCTACTTTTTAAGTGTTCATTTTTTTTATTTGATTCAATTTAATGTGAATTATTTGATTTAGTTTTTGGTTTTTTGTTTTGTATGAGTTTATTTTAACATTAACTCTGGTTTTTTTCTTTCTAAGTTTTTTTCAGATGAATCTTTAACCATGGATTTGTTAGAGCAGACGATCTTAACAAAATTTCAGAAATCAAAGATGGATCACCGAGCTTAAAGGATTGGAGAAACTGTTATCTTCCAAAATTGGCTAGTATAAGTTTTAGTTATTTTGTTGATTTTGTTTGGCTTTTGTGTATCTTTTGATATTTTTTACGTGTTTTGATATTTATAATTTTGTTGGAGGTTTCTCCTTATTTATCTAATATATATATTTATTTATTATTCAATCTTGGAACATCTATTATAATAAATTTTAATTATAAAATTATAATATTGATTAATTCTTATAATTTAATAAAATCTATGGGTCAAATTTAAATTATAGAAAAACTATTGTAACAGAAATATATATCGACCATACAATTCACAATAATATTTTGACAACATAAATTATTATAATAACAAGAAATATTAGTTACGACAATATTTACAACAAATTATGCATTTTTCATCGTAACAAAATTTTTGTAACGAAAGTATCTTGCAAAATAGGTATCGCAAATTTTCAACGGTATTTGTTATATGTTTTTCGTTGGAATAATTTACGACAATTTAATGTTGCAAACGGGTCGTAATTATACGACAAATCTGCCTCAAATATATTGTTGCAGAAATACAACAACTATAGCAAGAAATTGATTCATTGCAGATTTTACAACGTCTATGCGACAAATTTTAATTTGCAACGCTAGCTCAATCAGCAACGTTATAAAATTGGTTGCGTCTTCATTGCAATTGTATGTTTGCAACAATATATTGCTCTATAGCAACAATTTTTCATATTGCAATATCACTATTTTCTTGTAGTGTAGCATTTAGATGAAAAAGTGAATATATATGAACTCTAGCTAGGACGAAAACATTTCGAGTGGTCCATAATCTAAACATAAATTTATAGGAAAAATACAGATACTAAATTTAAAGTTAACGTAACGCGATCATGTCAATAATGCACTAAATCTCATCAAGAGTTTTGCATTGACCGTGTTTGGATGAAAGTAGTAATTATGAGGCGTGATTAATTTTGTGGGAAGTACTTGTGTTGAATGATCCTTCTTTTTAACCATAACTAAGATAAGTTTGACATTATTGTCATATTATTTGTACTCGGAATTTTCCGGGTAGTGGAGCCTTATTAATTTAATACACATGCCAAGAAAAAAACTAAGAAGGTCATTTACAAAGAACCATCGTCGTCCGATATATGGACGGTGGAAAAGTCGGTATACGTCAGCACCAAGCTACCAACTTATTTGGTTGTTTTAATGGAATCATGACGTCTTTTCTTCTTTAAACTCACGTCACCCATGACCCATTTCTTCTTAAATTAGGACTATTATATGGGGATTGCATTTCTTTATAGTCTTGTCACCCCTTTAACTTTATAAGTTCTTCAGGTTCCAAAGCCTTTCCAATTGTATCGTTCCACCAAATCCTGAAATGAAAGTTCAACATCCATCATCGTCCTAAAACGTTAAAATATAACAAAATATAGAGTGTGCATGGGGCCGGGGACTTAACCGCTAGTAAAATATACATTTTTTAACAAAAAAAAGGCATGACCGCTTTATTAGAGATTTTATATTTACAGTTGCCTAACGTGAAAGTTTGCATAAGAAAACTAGTCATATACCATTCTTTAGAGCAAGAGAAATCTATATAACACTTAAAACCTTAAATGTGTAAACCCTAAAATATTTACCACAGTTTTGAATGAGAACATAATTATTGTTTTTGGGTAGACAATTTCGTTTCTAAGATTAGTAAGTTAGTAACAATCAATTATTAGTACCGAATTTTTTACGGACTATAAATCTTCTCAATAGACGGACGTAATTCAAATTTCGTTATGTTATCTCACGCTTTGAACAACAAAACTCAGCAAGAGTGGCAAAAAATGTAATTTTCTATAACCATTTTATCGTTTCCCCAATTTCAAAGCAGTAACACAGTTCATAATCAGAAGTTTGTATTAGTAAGTTTTTGTTATACGAATGGCATGCAAAAAATATACAGTAGTTAGTGTCGTAGATTTGTCATAATTTATTGGGCTACGTGGTTTGTTATTGGGCTTTGTCTTATTCTCCAATTTAGCCCAAAATTAAACTTTCAGCGACTCTCAAAGCCAACCGCGGGTGATGCGTTTTGCTATGTAAGAGAGACGAATCTGACGCCGGAATCCTTTTTACTTCACCGTCGTTTGTTCTTCTTCTTCTTCCCCGATCTCCGTCGCGTCACGTTTCGATTAATTCCTTCACAAGGTAAGAAGCTTCTTCAATTTTCCTCTTACATCAATTCTGCTTTCTCATTGATCCCTGTCGTTATCGTCTCTAAACGCAAGCTTTATTTCCAAGGTTTGTGTCGATCTTAAAGTACAGAGACTGATAAAGCCGTTCCCGTTCTATTGAAGAAAGCTCTAACCCTAGATTAGCCAGGATTTAATCGGAATTTGTCTGGATCTAACAGTTTTGTCGAGTTTGATCATTGTGACTTTGGAACTCTAATTTTGCAATCGTAGAATTTGCGCATCTCCAGAACAATCCCTGCCAATGAGATGAAATTTCAAAATTCTGTTTCTGTAACTAATTTTGCATAAGAACTTGTTTCTATAGCTTAATCAGCTGTGTTATTTGGTGTATAGGGTAGCAAAATTTTGTTGATTTCGGGATGTCTTCAGCTCAAGATCCATTCTACATTGTTAAAGAAGAGATTCAGGATTCTGTAAGTTGTTCAGAAATTGCCAGAGATGTTTTTTTGTTTAGATTTTGAAGGACAGTGATTGATGGATGATGCTTTGTTAGATTGATAAGTTGCAATCTACATTCCACAAATGGGAGCGTATCTCTCCGGACATGGGTGATCAAGCACATGTGGCGAAGGAGCTTGTTGCTACTTGTGGAAGCATTGAGTGGCAGGTACTCGTATTTAGTCACGGTTCTATTAATCTCGTCTTTATATATAATTTAGCTGGTGTGGAATAGGATTTGTGTTTGTCAATGGATCTTGTATTGGCCCTTAATTACATGATTAGAAATCCAATAGAATAAGTAAGTGCAACGTTGAAATTAGAGTCCTTTCATGGCTATTGAAGCTGTCTTTACTGATAGGAAGGTAGATGAGCTGGAAAAAGCAATTACTGTTGCAGCAAAAGATCCTTCGTGGTATGGCATTGATGAAGCTGAGCTTGAAAAACGGAGGAGATGGACTAGTAATGCTAGGACACAGGTATGTTCTCTAAGTTTGTTATGAATACTGCTTTACGGAGTGGCATATATTTGTTGCTAGTTGACTTGTGCAAGACGATTACGATATTTTTTATAGGTGCGGAATGTGAAGTCTGGTGTTTTAGCTGGAAAGGTTAGTTCTGGAGCAGGTCATGCAAGTGAAGTGCGTAGAGAACTAATGAAAATGCCAAACTCGGGTGAAGCAAGTAGATATGATCAGTATGGAGGGAGAGACGATGATGGTTTTGTACAGTCTGAATCAGATAGGCAAATGCTGTTGATAAAGTAAAGCTCTTTCTCTGTGTTCTACATTGTTTTGGAGTCTTTTCTTTGCTTCTGAGTTTATAACGATTATAGACTGAAGATTGTAGCATAGTTTTGTCAAAAAGAGAGTAGTGCCATAACTTAACATCATTTTGTCACTTCAGGCAACAAGACGAAGAATTGGATGAGCTCAGTAAAAGTGTACAGAGAATTGGAGGAGTGGGGCTCACTATACACGACGAACTCGTTGCACAGGTTAGTAATATGGGAAGATGATTTAACAGTAGTACATATCAGTAGAGATCAGAAACATCAAGTTTTTGTTATTGTGCGTGTTCAGGAGAGAATAATAGATGAATTGGATACCGAGATGGACAGTACAAAGAACCGGCTGGAGTTTGTTCAGGTAAACCCACCCCTAAAGGCCTTGTTGCTGTATTGATTGAAGTAAGTGTAAAGACAGTAAAATCTGAAAGAATGAAAATGGCATTGTGACAGAAAAAAGTGGGAATGGTAATGAAGAAAGCTGGAGCAAAAGGTCAAATGATGATGATATGTTTCTTGCTCGTCTTGTTCATCATCCTATTCGTTCTTGTCTTCTTGACCTAAAGACCGAGCCACTGGATCTTATAGATGGGAGTTAAATGTCTTACATTATCATGTTTTTGGTGAAACAAAAGGAATATTTACATAAGGTTGTCTGTTTTTTCTTCTCTTATCCAATCCCATATCTAATTTTGAACTTTTGGCTGTGAGATCTCAAGAGAACCTGAAATTAAATACTTTCATAGCTTGATCCCATGGCTAAGTTCCTTAAACAAAACAAATCAGTCTCATCAAAAGTAAGCCGTCAAAAACTTCCCTATAGACACACCTTTATTATGCCTTGTTTAAGTTTCCGCAATGTCTCCTTTGCTTCTTCAGGTCTCTGATGAAAAAAAAATCCGAAAGCAGACTCCATAAGAAACATCTAAAGACAACAAAATGACTCCAAAAATAAAGAACCGGCAACAAACCTGGCTACTGCTCAAGAGACCACCCTTAATAGTTAATAATTGAAGGCAAATGCTTCAACTGATCGATCATCAACGAAAACAAAGGACTCACTATAAGCGTGATCTCCGGAAGAATCATTGCCGGACATAATTAGCTGAATAACTGATTTATTGTTGAATCTTTCTGATACTATCGTTGAGCACCCAGGCCACACACACGAGGAGGCGCAGGAGAATATGCCGACGGAGGATAGGGTGTGTTTCACGGGGGAGGAGTATGCCCGTCATGTGAGGGAATACTGGCGTGGAGTGGCGGAATCCGATGTAATTCTTTTATCTTCTTCTTCTTCTTGTTTAGAGAATTTCCATGATTGTGATACATGTTGAACTGACATAATTATTAAACCCGCTTGTAGAAACTCGATAGGTTCTAGTGTTGTTTATGGGATTGCTAACTGATTACATTGCTGATGTGTCTTATTTAGGGTTTTGATTGCGAGGAAATTCGAAGTCCAGTAGTGCTTACTGGACTGCTTCACTACGACTGTCAAAAATCTGGTCGTCGTTATCCTGAACCTCTCTTGGTCAAGCGATATGCTTTGTTGGGGCTTCATCGTTTCAATATTTTGCAGGTAATTATATTTTTAAACTATACTAGGGTAAAAACCCGCGCTCCGCTGCGGGATATCTTTTATAAATTATTTTTGTTACTAATGACTTTTGCTTAAACTAAGATTATGTAGTACAAAGTTCACAATGAAATTTGTATTTTTTGGTTTAGACAATGAAAGTTGTCTTCCTTTTTTTGTAATACAAACAAAAGAGTATCCAAACTTGAATTTAAACAATACACAAATACGAAACTTGAATTTAATATAAATATGATTTGTAAAACTTAAATAAAATTTTAGAATTCGATGGTTGACAGATCATTTTCACCACTTCATCTCATTTAAAAACTTTATTTTGAATTTCAAATCAAATAAAACAAATTAATACACAGATATGAGAAGGTGACCGTGACACATTACTTAAGAAATCAATGCACAAAATTCTTCTTCTCTTCGTCTACCGGCCTTGGATTCATTAACTTCAACATCTTTAGAAAATTGCTCCACCTTCATCTTTAATCAACATTAACTAAATTGACCAAACGAACAATAGTGTATATATATGTACGGAAGAAGTGTATAAGCAGAGGTAGATGAGAAATTCCGACAAGTTTTCGGTAGATCCCATGGTACTTGCACAATCTCTCCTTCATTCTTTAGATAGATACAAATACAATTGTGGATGTATTAATATTATACAATTGTCCAACCATCTCAAGAGATTCAATATGCATTACACGCTTGATACTTGATTGATTTAACTATTCCTAAGACCAATAGAATATATTACGTAAAGATCATCTATGGTCTCACAAGTCACAATACATGCATTCAAACTTTGGGGTGGAAAACAATAGTTCCAGACCTAAATTATGACATTAGGCAAAGTGAAATACACGGGAAACCTGAAGTGTAAGTAAATAAAACATTAATAATTCTAGAATCATTAATCTATATCTCTGTCCACATGAAATATTTTAACAACCATATTTTCCATTAAACGACTGCAAACACTGATAAAGTATAGGTAGCACTCCAATATATAAAGTACGCAGCTGTTATTTGCTAATTAAATGATTGATTTCGAGCAATTGTGTACTTTTGAAGTCTTCTTTACACGAGTCTCAACAATAAGTACTACCAATTCAAAACTTCCATAACTAAATAAGTTGTATAAACCTACCATAACTCCCTGTCGATGAAATGCCTACAACACTACCAACAATGACAAGGAAAGAAAGATCTAGATGGTAATGAAAGCAAAAAACAATGTTGGGGAAGGACACTATTTGAATCATGTTTGGAAAATAAGATGGTACTCCCAGTACTCTTTAAATCTTAATCAATAACAAATTTTGTCGGTGATTTTTCTGGTAGTTTACGGTGGTTATTAGAGCTCCTTCCGATGGCAAATCGATTCGACAACAAACCTTGTCGGCGAAGGCAAAACAAAAAAATAATCTTCGTCTCTCCACGTTTTCAAAGCAAACAGCGAAGGCACTTTCTTTAAAGAGGTAAACGGCGAGCACCGGCGGTTGGGGTAGGAGTAGCGGCTGAAGGAGTGGAGGAAGAGTGGTGCTGAGAGTGACGAGGAGATGAAGGATGGTGGATCTTGATGTTAGGGAGATGTAGATAATCAGATTATGGATTCATAATCTCTTTTTCTTCTTCTTCTCTGCTTGATTCAACAGATTTATAGAAACTTTTATTTTTTTTCCGATCGAGAGGAAGATGATGACGAAGAAGAAGAGACAGCCGTGTTTTGTCAATTTTAATTAGTGTCTCCATGTTTTCAACACTACTTTATCAAGTGGGCTTTTACTTTTGGGCTTTGTTATTTTATTTTTTTCGTCATACTTTTGGGATTTGTTACTTTTTTTTGTTTTTGTGTGTTTTTAATAATATGAAACAACAGAAAAAGGGGAGAGAAAGAGTGACGTGGCAGAATAGAAGATTATTATTGGCAAATAAAGTTGAGCTGTATTATTTAAAATGTTTTGATTAGAGTTTCTTTTTAATGATGTGTCATAACCAGGAAAGCTGAAAATGCTGATGTGTTAGATTAGGAGAGAATCCAATTGTTATTATTGTATTAATCCTATTGTTATTTTGAAATTTTTTATTTAATATAACTAAATAAAATTTTATAATTTAATGTTTTATTTGTATTTAAATTGTAATTATTTTTACTTCTAGGGATTAGTTTTTTATTTATGTAATTAGACTTTGTAATTATAATTATAGTCTCTATTGCCAATATTAATATCTAATGAAAAGATGATGTTTCAAAAGTAAAATTCTAGTATATTTTTCAGTTAATAATTTATTTTCGTAGCAAAGGTTATTTTTTGAATTTTTTCTTTAGTGATTTGCTATAATTAAATAAAAATTTTGAACTTAATGGTTTACCTTTATACCACTCGGAACCAACTAAATAACTTTATTTTTAAAAAACTATCTTTATTTTCAATGCCAGTTTTCAAAAATGTCACATTTTTAAACCTTATAAAAAATGCTCCAAACAATATGAAATTTACCCAAATACATATGTAACATTATTAAAACATATACAAACTATCTTTATATGTATCTAAAATCTTATAAATACCGTATAAAACCTTTAAAAACCTTTAAAGAATATAAATTAATTTATATAATTTAAATCTTATTAATTATTTTATATCTTTTGCAACTTTAAAGAATTAATAATTAGAATTTTCAAAAATCGTATTAGCTAGAGACACTGAATTAATTACCATGTTCAGTTTTGTTTCGTATTTATATTTTGATTAGATATCAATTCTAATGATGTGTTACTCTGAGAATAGCCTAAAAAGCTAATGTATAAACACCATCAATTTTTTTTAATATTATCCTTTTTATAATAAAAATTTTATATTATCACATATTTTACATATTATCTTTACAAAAATATATAAACTATTTAATTATATATATGATATATTTATTTTTATTATATATATGCAGTCCGCGGGGCAATCCGCCAATCTCCGGCATAACCTGCTAAACCCCGTAATCCGAGTGGGATTGCCCGCAAAATCTACTTTTTAACGGATTTAATATTTTGTGTTCATACCTGGACCGGACTGGGCTAAGCCCACGATTTTAGGGCCATTTTGATATTTCTATGAGAGATGATGATGTGGAAAAAATAACGGTTCTTATTGGATATTAAAAATGAGTTGTATTATTTAGAATGTTTTCATTGGTTATTCATTTTAAATGAGGTGTCAACTCCACAAAGCTTAAAAAAGCTGAGGTGTCAACCTCTGGAGAGTTTCAAGGGTTTTTATTGTATTGATATATAGTCTCCTCTCTTTTAGTGGTGCTTCATCAACATGTCCTGTACCACATCCAATTTTCTCTTTTCATCTGTCAGGGGACAAGTTTCGATCTCGCTGCCCTACTGAAATTCAACAAGACAATGAACCTTACGTCTTCGTACTACATTACTCTTCTTGCATATGATACACTACTGCAGAAAACCTTTCAGGTTCGTGTTGATGAACGAAAATATCGCCATTTGGATTTGACAGTCGCTATTGCTAGACCTAAAAAAGATCAAAATGAAGGTGACTTGTGCTGCATTGTTCATTTTTTTTTAATACAAGTCAAGAATATAAAATCAAATCTCACTTGCTGATTAATAATGTTGCATAGCAGCAGTGACCACCAAGGAGCCCTTCATACCTCACTTTCATGGTGGCGCAGTGGCGGATGGTGTCTTCCAAGGTCCATTGCCTGATTGGCCCTCAGATGGTGCTTTTCATGATGATAGAAGCCGGTTTTACGCGGTAAGATTATTATTACTAAGACACATCATCAGTTTTTTTTTTTGCTCATGATCATTTAAGTAGTGATAAGTTTTTCTTGCTTTTGCAGCTAGAGAAATCAGAGTGGCAAGCCACTGGTTGGATTTCTCTATATTTGGAACTTTTGATTTTAGCAAATGATAAAGGGATGTTTGGTGTAAGTTTTTTTTCTTTTGCATATCAATGACATACCATGACTTTTGGTAATAATTATTAACACCAAAACTGTTGTTGCTGCAGATAGTGCAGACTGGTCTGCCCCAGGTTCAGATTCTGAAAGTGGTGATTCAAACTCAGGAAGAAGATGAGAAGCCCCCGGATGAGAGACTCAATTCCAGAAGGGCACATGTCTATATAACTTTTACGGGCTTGGCCAAGTCCCCACGTCTTGTTGAGATTGGTGAGCATGTTGCACGCAAAGCTATCATTAGAAGAGTTATCGATGATTCAGGATACTTGACTCTTCAGGGTAAGTTTTGGAGTCTCCAGAGTGGAGAAAAAGCCGAGAGTTCTCAAAAACGACCTCGCTCAAAAGGACCTCGCATTTTCTAGGTGTTTAGCCATGGCTGTGTCTGCGTAATGACAAGATCCATTTGAAGATGTTTGATCAGATAATAAGCCAATAAGCTATCTTGTGCGTTTGAACTGTTTAGGTGAATTTGTTTTTGTGTTGTATGTACTGTTTTTGAATACAAGAAGTTAAGTTATTAATAGGGGGATTATTTAGTTTTCCTTTTCCTTTCCCATTTTGGTCCCTACATCATGAACACTAGGCCTGCCGTTGATGAAAGGAACCCATGAATCTATTGAAATTATCTGCAGGTTTCGAGCTCTAACTTCTCTGAAGATATCAAAGGGCCTACAAGTTCTGTATCTAAATATCTCTGTCAAAGGGCCTACAAGTTCTGTATCTAAATATTTCTGTTATAAATTCATACTCTCACATACGACAAAAGACAGAAGCATCTGTTGTGTTTGGTTTGGTTGCTCTAAGGTTATCCAACTTATACTGGTCTCTTTTTGCATATAATGCGGCAAGGCTATTGGATTCTTCATCGACCACACTTCAATGAGTACAAAACTCACAAATTTCTTTTGCTTTCCGATCATGAAAAAAGTAAAACACTCAAGTCTTAAAAAATGATGATGAACGCAGAGAAGCACTTGAAGATGACCAAGAAATGGCAACAGAGAGATCGATTGCTAGGTTGCAGAAGGATGTTTTGTGGTTTACACGGCTAACAAAACACTCTTTGCTTCTCCACCAAGTTACCTATGCATTCTTTTTTTCAATCTGAAGAAGAGTTCTCTAGCTTCAGGCAAGTGAAACTGGAGGTACATAACCAAACCGGAAGTTAAGGAAATTGAACCAAAGTAAGCTCTTCTTCATGTCACAACTGAAGCAGAGTTCGGCCCCCCACCTGGTGGACCAATCACGTTGTCATTCCATTTGGTTTTCTTTTAAAGTATATATCATCAAGTTGATTGAACGAAGAATGAATGGAGACACATAGAAGGATAGGTTAATGTCAATCTCTAGAGCTAAATGTTCTTACACATTTTTCGTTGGAACAACAAGAACAGAGTAATCAATAATCAAGTAAAGAGGAGACAAGGCTCGGTGATTCTTCGGCTACAACTGAATCAGTTGGAGTGGCTGCAGGAAGAAAGAAGATGTGTTATAAGTTCAAGCACACTTTCTCAAGCAAGCAGCTATGGTGACACATTCTGATACAGAAGAAAATGAGAAGTAATTGATATCACATGAAAATATTATTATGAGTTCTGTTTGGACACAAGGATTTTTTTGGAAAAGGAAGGATTGAACAAAGTCATTCCAAGAAACTGAATTTCTATGGACGGATAAAGAGATCAAAATTGTCTCTAAGTTGTGACTTCTGAATAAGATTGGTTGACGGTATCTCTAGTGCAGACATGACAGCCTAAAGAGTCATTGTAGTGGCCGTTGCAGTCATCGCGAGAATGCATTCTGCCTTGAGTTCAGCAAAACCGCATTGATGCCTTGAGTCTCATATATGAAGGGCGGAAGGTTTCATAATAGCTCTTAATAACCAAGACAAACAGAACAAGGAAAAGCAGTAGATACTACAGTCAGCAGAGAAACACATAGTTTCTAATGGGCCTACCAGCTGCCAAGAAGCTCACCATTCTGATACGAAGTGTGCCTCATCCACAACAACAAGTGACACAGATAATGACATGCGAAACATTGACAAAAATTCCACATTCACAAGTCTCTCGGGAGATACAAACAACAATTTGTGGCACACACCTGGCTACTGATCAAGAGACCACCCTTAATAATTGAAGGCAAATGCTTCAACTGATCGATCATCAAAGAAACTGAATTTCTATGGATGGATAAAGAGATAAAATGACCAGATTGACAAAATGTTCCCCTTCTTGCAAAAGTTATATCAATACTTAGAAGTTATCTGGGAAATAGAGAGTAGCTGTCTCCAACAAAACAAAAGATTGATTCCAAATTGGTTTTAGAAAAGTAGTATTAAGAGGAAGACAAGGGCCAAGCTAAAGCCTCACTACTCTTCGTTTGATTCTGGCAACTCTTCTGCATTAAGTTTGTGTGTCTGTGAACCCGAGCGGTTTAACATGTTCTCCCTCACCTCGAATTCATCTCGTTTTTGACCCTCACTTTCTCCACCAAGAGGTGCTTTCGCCTTCTCAGAAATCTGGGGCTTGTCCTTTGAATTCCCAGAACCTTATATGGAAGCGAGTATACCGGGTTATTTACACCAGAAGTAGCTATAGATTCAATACGAGGCTTACATAATGAGGGAAACCAATAAGAAAGAAAGAATCTCACCACTTCCATGCTGTGTGAATTCCTTTCTCCCCTTCTTTGGCTTTCTGTCCTGTGCTATAGCTGTTGTAAGGTATTCATCACCCAAATAGTCAAGCATGATCCAAATCTTATATACAAATAAAGCAATAGCTAACAATTTATACTTATTCAAAACTATTACCGTGCTCTTTTGCTGCAACAACAGAAGAACTAAAACCACCAGTAGACGCCCTCCGGCGTTTAGCAACAGGTTCATATTCTACATATGAAGGGTCATCTTCTATTTCCTCCTCTTTTGGTTCCTCTTCTTCTCTTGCTTCTTCGTCCTTTCCCGCATCTCCTTTCTCATCTTCATCCTCATTCACATCCATATCTATGGCGACAAAATTGGTTAGAAGGTGCATGAACTCAGAGTAGCCTCGAACCAACTTTTTCCCTTCTATATCTACACCCACGGGAATATACAAAGTGGAGAGGGATACATAAATATATCCATCATCACCTTGAAGATCCCCGTGACTATCTTTGCATACAGCCACGAGTTCACCATTAATTACGTCTAGACCGGCTATAATTACGGAGTGATATCCAACAAAGTAAGGGTCAGGGATCCGTATATCGGCGGGACCATAATAAACAGCCCTTCCTTGTTCACCCATTCCTTTGTAATGAGCTACATCGGCTCCAATCGGCTGCCACTGAAGCTCTTGCAAAGCCTCTTCCAGTGTGTTGATTCTTCGGACATTCTTTAGAGTTCTTTTCTTCATGAGAATATCACAAACGACGCTCGATGGCTGATGAACTTTGCAGTCAAACACTTTAACCAATTCTCGGGGAATTCCATATGTTTTGATATGGAGTAAGGCCATTTCAATCGTGAATCCATAACAGTGATGCTGTTCCTCAATATTTGCACGTCTTTGAAGCTCTTCTGGATTACAATAGCAACACAAATACCAAGTGCAGAGCGGTGGAGAAGACCTCTTTTCCAAATTGTGTAATATCCTCACACCATTAAATTGATCCGAGCTCGCATATGCCCAGCACAGAAGATGAGATAACTGATCTCGAACTTCACCCAATATGGGTATCCATGGAGTACCAAGTAGCCGCATGAATGGTAATAATTCCTATTAAAAAGAAGAGGTTTATTGATTTAGGTATATAGAGAATGAAATAATAAAGGGTAGCTATAGTTGAAAGTTAGTAATGTTTACCGATTCTTTCATCCGGCAACAGAGCTGAGCGACATGGTTATTATCATTTAATATAAAGGGACCTTCATGTTTTGCATCTCTAAGTTTCTGTAAATCAACAAGCAAACTAGCATGTTCCTCGTTAAGGTGGCAGGTTCCCCGCTCGTTTAGCAATTCCTTACAATCATCTGGAAGGAGATTAAGCGAATCAGGTCTGTCAGAGGCTTTCTTCACCCGGTTCACATCTTGCTCAAGCATCTGACGTGCTTCCTGATCTGTTGGGTATAGCAACCTCTTAGCAACAGCTCTGAGCAAATTAAGCTTCTTCAACTTTGCCTCTGGCAGCTAGTAACAAAAGGATTTGGTCAAACATTATGCTGAGTAAGGATGCTCATGTCTATACTAATAATATAAAGAGTTACATGCAAGTTGAGAGTAATTCAGAATCGATTTTATGCCTTTAACTCCATTGACTAGTGTATTCTTACTATACCAAAGTGAACTCAAAGAGATCATGCACAGACAAAAACAATGTTAAACACTTAAACAACAGGGTAAGAAAATTACAATGTACCTGGTCAAAAACAGGCATGATATTCTTGTTCAAGTAGTAAGCAAAATTGCGATGGCTACCTTGAGCACCTTTCTGTTCGGAAGAGGACGAAAGTAATTATTAGGATTTATGGTTCAAAGCATCTTAACTATATATTATCCAAGTGCTATAAAGCAATAACTTTGATTCCTTACCGCATAGAATGGAAGAGCCGTTTGCAGGCATGATATAAACCTGTCAATATGATGTGGATCTAAAACCTGGAAAAATAATATTTGGACATCAGCAGTAGTTCCATGGCACGCTAATGAAATCATGTAGATGAAAAAAGCTTCAGAAGCCCATAGTTCCAACCTTTAGCATCACACCATACTAGGATTAAAATGTTTACTAATGTAGAATTGTAGTAGAGATTGTTATTATGGTAACTAAAACGGATGATATCAATTTGTAATGACTCAAGTTTGCATTCTAAGACACATCTATTGACCCTTCCCTATGTTCATTCTGAGCAGTATACTCTGGACTTTAAGAAAAAATCAGACCTTATAAAACTTTAGAGGCACTTTCTCACATACTACCAATATATGAGACATCACATCAGATAAAAGTTCAAGCAAGATAAACAATGTAGACTAACACATGTAGAAATTGTAAGAGATTATATATCCTTTCTAAGCTTTTAGTCAAGAGAGGGTGAAGTCTTTGCTACGAAAGATCTTTTTTGATCTCACCAACACGCAAAATACTAGCAGATTTCATTCCCAGACAAAGACAACTATTTGTGCAACTAAAAAAAAACAAGAAACATCTTGGAGGAATAATACTGTGATTGTATTCAAGCGAAAAACTTATGTTCATCCCCAGAAGCATGTGACACAAGAAACTCACCTTCAATGGTGAATGCAAATTTGCCACTTGTTCAAGAATTTCTACAACTTTTTGCATTCCATCTTTCTCTTCCAATGTACTCAAACTGTTCCAGAAATCCATGAACGTTTCGAATTCTTCTTCAGTTACATACCCTGTTAGGCACTGGACACATCCAAAGAAGGTCAGAAAAGGAGTAAGAAAAGGAAGCCACACTATTAGAAACAAAGAAAAGTCCATGTGACCAAACTCCAAAGATATGATCTAACAATGAGTCCTGAATCATCTCAAACTCGAAGCTATAAAGAGCGAAACAAAAAGAAATAAATACTTCATTTTTAGAGTGAATCTAGCTTATTTAATTAACGTTCCTTAAAAACAAATTGAAGTTCAACTATGATGCACTACATCTACTATCTGCTTCTGGCTACGTTAGTCTATGTAAGAAAGACTAGGTCCATACCTCTGTATTCACTTCTTGGATTATATCCAAGTACGCCTCGAAAGCTTCTATTTTGAGACTGGGGAAGAACTTGAAGTAGCGTGGAATCAGCTGAGCTCCAAGCTTCTTGGTCTTGATGTTCGCCTTAGACAACTCAATAATCCCTTCATAGTCTTGAACATTCTGCAAACCATGAAAACAAAAAGACTGTAGAAGCCAAGCAAAAAAAAAAGAAGCAATCCTATGAAAAGCCAAACATCAATCACACCAGTAGCCATTTCTAGACCCCATTTGAAACCAGAAACGAATTGGCGAACAACTAAAGCAAACAGAGTTAGGGTTAATATCAAAACGAGGGAAAAAATGAAAAAAAAATGTAGGTTAAATAGAGGCGAACCTGTTCCTTGTCTGTAGAATCATCCAGGTGCTTGTCGAACTCACGAAGCTTCTTGATAAGCTGGTCATCTTCAGTTTCTGACATTTTATAGGAGGAAGCTGAAACCAAGAGAATGTGAGTATGTTACACAGTTTTCTTTGAGGAAAACAGAAGCTTACACATATCTGTAATGAAGAAATGTTACTAGAATGTGAGAGAAAAAAATAGGGTTGACCGTACAAGGCAATTTTTGAAAGAGTGTTGATATTCTTCCCTGTGTCGCTTCGCTGCCCTCTTTGTTTCTTTGGAGGAGACAGAGCTTAAAACCGGATTTTATCACTAAAACCGGTAAACCTCGGTTCAATTTCAAAATCTACTTCACCAAATTTAAATCATTTAACGTTTATTAAAAATTCAAAATAATTCGCCATTGTGTTATGAACCGAAATATGGGTTATTAGGCCTATGTTGGGCTTTGTCATTAGGTTGTCGTTAAGCCCATTTGGTTTCATGTAAATATATGATTTCTTTTTTTTAACAGAAATGGTTTCAATTCATTTCATGTACTATCCTACTATGGCTATGCTTCTTCATACTGTGCAGTCTGTGCTTTCACTTTTGTTTAATGCTTGCAATTTAATCATGGTTCTCTCTTGTTTATTTATATATGTTTATTAAAATAATGAGATATCTGGTATTGCAATTTAATCATGCTTCTCTTGTTTAGTTATATAATATTAAAATAAAACTTTGAGATATCTGGTCCTCTGCCACAAATACATTTTGGAGATGATTGTTATCAACCTTCAGAGTTTGAATGTAGTCGGAGGCCGGATCGATCATGTGACCCAATAACTCAAAACTTCGAGAACCATTATGATAGACCATATCATCTTTTTGAAGAGGAGGAAGAGAATTGGATTTGTTAAAGATGGCGGTGAGAGCCCAATGGAATCTCCTTATATGGATGAGACTCACTCAAAATCAATTTTCTGTTACAACTACAGGAGGAGCAAAAGGGTGAAAATATAAAGAAAGTAATTGCCTATTAGCTCCACTCAACGAGACGGACAACTCAAAATTGTCTATCAGTTGTGACTTTTGAATAAGATTGGTTGACGGTATCTCTAGTGCAGACATGACAGCCTGAAGAGTAATTGTAGTGGCCGTTGCAGTCATCGCGAGAATGCATTCTGCCTTGAGTTCAGAAAACAGCATTGATGCCTTGAGTCTCATGTATGAAGGGCGGAAGTTATGAGACCTGTTTCATAATAGCTCTTAATAACCAAGACACAATAACAAGGAAAAGCAGTAGATCTTACAGTCAACAGAGAAACGCAATCTACCAGCTGCCAAGAAGCTCACCATTCTGATACGCAGTGTGCCTCACCGCCAACAACAAGTGACACAGATAAAGACATGCGAAACATTGACAAAAATTCTATGTAGCTAAAGCTGCATTTCTGTCAACAAAATTGATCAGCTCTGTTTGTGCCGCTTCCATTATCACACGGAACTCTACGCTCATATACCTTCCCCTGCAAAGCCATATTTCAGTTAAATCACATGTACCATCATCAAACAATTACTTGCATCGCTTGGTTTAGATGATGATGATGATGATGATGACTATACCAAAAATGAGTCTTGGACCAGACTGCATTTGAAAAAGCTGGACTTCCAACTCCATGCATTATTCTCGCGATGGCTCTTGGTGAGAATTTGGCTTGCGATTACTCTGCAAAAAAAAACCTGTTTTGCCCCACAGCATTAACTTAACATTCTTTGGATACATGACAAAACAAAAAATTATAAACAACAATGTGGCTTCTTGGATCGTCACCTTTATGTCTGCTCGTAGAAAGGCACTGCATTCACAATATAAGTGTCGATCATTATAATGGAAAGATGATTTGACAAACCAAAAATATGTAACAACACCGGTTTTTCATTTCCTTTATCGCTATGCACTAATCGAAATTTGGAATCTATGTAGTACCAATTTTGAGTCGTCTTGCTCAGAGTGTCACACTTTTCGTCACCATTGAAGTAATCCAAAATTCTGCTTTGCAGGTTCAGAGTTTGCTTGGCACCAGAACTCAGTTCTGAAGTGTTAGAGACACTAATAGCAGCCACAGCTGCACTAGACATAATATTCAGTTTTCTCACCTATATCAAATGCAAAATTATCGCTACATGTAAGCACAAGCGTTGGAACTTAAATTAAGATAGACCATGAAAGGGTGAGGAGCTGTTAGCTGCAGTTGATAAAGTTGAACAACTTACTTTGCAACTTTCAATCTCAGTGAGCCACTTGGTAAGATGATTGGACAATGAACATATTTCCCTTGGAAATTTTAAGATTGTGTAACAAAAGGCTGGGCCCTTCAATTCGTTTGTTACATCCCCCTTCATCTACAATGATTTCAAGGACATATCAACGAACAAGATCTTAACAGCGCTAGAAAATCAGCCTCAAGATCAAGTACTTAACATCGTTAATTAGAAATCAGGAAGATAATTAGGTGGTTCAATTGGAACACACACGAAAGAGTTCTTAACAGAACACAAGCAATTGAACAAACAGATGACACATGCTCCACCCTTATACATTTCCCTCAGTAGAGTTGTATTTTCTCAGTAAGCCTACATCAATATAGTCCATAGAGATATAGAATCAAACTTTATCACAAAACGCGATACTAACTAAGTGTACTAGAGTCGTATACCTGAAGATAATTTATGTGTCTATCAATGATATTCAATTCATATTTCCTTTAGTTCTGTAAAGTTAAGTTTCTTCTTCACTTTTAATGCGTGCAATTCAATCATGGCTCCCTTGCTTAGATAAATATGATTATTAAGATGAAATGAAACTTGAGCTATCTCGTACTAAGCCACAGATTCATATTGGAGAGAGAATTGTTATCAACCTTCAGAGTTGAATCTCAGCCAAGACATCTGCTGTTGCAATACATATGCTAGAGGCCATAGCTGGGTATATTGAAGACATGTAACCCTTGCTTTACGTGAGACCTAAAAACAACAGAAAATTCTTGAGCATTGCTGTAACTTTCATACTAGTTCTACAGAATCGCTTGACCAGAAAAGCTGAAGAAAATGAATAGACACTTACTTCTTCAGAATTGCTGCAACTATGGTATTTCGTGCAGCCAGAGTGTTTGGAGAAGACTGCGCATATAGCAAAACAATGTTCTGAGCATCAGAAGTCTCAAGCATACACCATTAAAAAAAATATGGGAACTTGTCACTAAACATGAAAGTATTCAGCTAACAGCTTCCCTACCTTGTGGAAATTCAAAGTGCAACATATGTTGAGTTGTGGAAGCATACGTAGGTATTGCACTTCCCCCAGCTCCAATTGTGTCAAAAATCTTTTGCATAGCCTGCCAGATCCACATTGAAAATTCAGATTATTCTTATAAAAACTTTTTTTCTGCCCACTATCTCACAAGACCAGACTTGATAATATAAAGGTAGAGAACAATGGGTTTCAAGAAATGACATTAAGTTTTTTAAAAATACCTCTTCCTTCATGTCAAATTTCTGAGAGGTAGATTCAATAACTAGCGAGCATATTGCTTTGCCTCAGTGGAAAACACATGAGTGAGAAATTTTCCAACTGCATATTCATCGACATCATCGCTGAACAAAAAGGGGGAATAAACAAAGGTAAGCTTAAAATCCTCTTAATTCAATGCCATGACAGTTCCCACACCAATCACCTGAGTGCAAGACTCCGAAGCTTTAGATATGTGTCATTATCATAAAAGAGATGACAGTAAGACAACCACCCGACCAGCACGTCCAATTTCCTGTAATAAATACATGTAGTTTCTCGAGAACGTTATATGCACACTGATCACTAAGCTTAAGACGGAAAAACAAAAAAAGATTTGAACCTGAACGTATTCTTCCACACTGCCTGGCACGCTGAAGTGGATTACCTAAAGCAGAGTCAGAAAATTTAGAAGCATTTATATTATTATATGAATGAGATGCAAATAGCTGAAGATATGTTTAAGCATTCTAAGGGTTTGCGTAATTGCGTTAGACTTACAGCTCCAACATCTCCCTTGTCAAGTCCCATGCCGAATGCCACAGTTGCAACAACCTTCCATAACATAAATAAAATATTTGAATACTGACATCTGCTTAACTTTCAGTGATTGTTTGCATGTGTAAATTGGGCACGAAGCATATGGAAATCAGTGAACTTGTTTTCTCACCACTCTAATCTTGTTGGAACAAAATGACTCCTGTATGCGAACACGGTCCTTCGCAGGAAGACCACTGTGATAACCCTGGAATATTTACATAAAGTTTGTTTTTTCTTCTCTTATCCGATCCCACGTCTAATTTTGAACTTTGGCTGTGTGATCTCAAGAGAACCTGAAATTAAACAACAAACCCATGACACACATGAATGTACTTCCAAATTAAATCCCATGGCTAAGTTCCTTAAACATTACAAATCAGTCTGATCAAAAGTAAGCTGTCAAAAACTTCCCTATAGAACAAGTTTCTGCAATGTCTCTGTCGCTTCCTCAGGTCTCTAATGAAAAAAATTCCGAAAGCAGACTCCGTTAGAAACATCTAAAGACAACAAAATGACTTCAAAAAATAAAGAACCGGCAACAAACAACAACTTGTGGCAACACACCTGGCTACTGCTCAAGAGACCACCCTTAATAATTGAAGGCAAATGCTTCAACTGATCGATCATCAAAGAAACCAAAGGACTCACTATAAGCGTGATCCCCGGAAGAATCATTGCCGGATATAATTAGTTGAATAACTGATATATTGTTGAATCTTTCTGATACTATCGTTAAACTCTTATGACAACGCTTAAGATTGTAAAATGAATAAATGAGTCATTGTAATTGAACAAAACTTTTAATAAACCGAAATACAAGGGTTCGTAACATAATTCATAAATAAGATAAGAGATTTGGGTTGAGAAGGCCCAACGGAAGCCCATAAAAGAATCCGCCGGCTGGAATATAAGGGCCATTATATATCGCCTGGATGGATTAAAAACAAGAAAGAGCACCCACACAAGGAGGCGGAGGCGGAGGAGAATATGACGACGGAGGATTGTGAGTATTTTACGAATGAGGAATATTCCCGTCATGTGAGAGAATACTGGCGTGCAGTGGCGGAATCGGATGTAATTCTCTCAACTTCTTCTTCTTCTTTAGAGAATTTCCATGATTGTGATATATGTTGAACTGACATCATTATTTTACCCTAACCCTGATCCTAGTTCTTAATAGCTTGTAGAACACTAAATATAGATTCTAGTGTTGTTTACTAATTGATTATTTTGGTTAATTAGGGTTTCTATCGCTTTTAGGGATTGCTAACTGATTATTTTGTTGAATTAGGGTTTCTATCGCTTTTAGGGTTGTTGTTGTTTATGGGATTGCTAACTGATGGGTCTTAATTAGGGTTTTGATATCGAGGAAATTGATAGTCCAGTAGTACTTACTGGACTGCTTTCCTACGACTGTCAATCTGGTCATCGTTATCCTGAGCCTCTCTTGGTCAATCGATATGCTTTGTTGGGGCTTCATCGTTACAATATTTTGCAGGTAATATTTTAAAAATATATATAGTCTCATCTCTCTCTTTTGGTGCTTCATCAACATGTCCTGTACCACGTCCAATTTTCTTTTCATCTGTCAGGGGACAAGTTTCGAGCTCGCTACCTTACAAAAATTCAACAAGACAATGAACCTTACGTCTTCGTACTACATTACTCTGCTTGCACAAGATCCACCATTGCAGAAAACCTTTCAGGTTCGAGTTGATGAACGAGCATATCACAGTTTGGATTTGACAGTTGCTATTGCTAGACCTAAAAAAGATCAAAATGAAGGTGACTTGTGCTTCATTGTTCAATTTTTTTTTAATACAAGTCAAAGAGTATATAATCAAATCTCACTTGCTGATTAATAATGTTGCATAGCAGCAGTGACCACCAAGGAGCCCTTCATACCTCACTTTCATGGTGGCGCAGTGGCGGATGGTGTCTTCCAAGGTCCATTGCCTGATTGGCCCTCAGATGGTGCTTTTCATGATGATAGAAGCCGGTTTTACGCGGTAAGATTATTATTACTAAGACACATCATCAGTTTTTTTTTGCTCATGATCATTTAAGTAGTGATAAGTTTTTCTTGCTTTTGCAGCTAGAGAAATCAGAGTGGCAAGCCACTGGTTGGATTTCTCTATATTTGGAACTTTTGATTTTAGCAAATGATAAAGGGATGTTTGGTGTAAGTTTTTTTTCTTTTGCATATCAATGACATACCATGACTTTTGGTAATAATTATTAACACCAAAACTGTTGTTGCTGCAGATAGTGCAGACTGGTCTGCCCCAGGTTCAGATTCTGAAAGTGGTGATTCAAACTCAGGAAGAAGATGAGAAGCCCCCGGATGAGAGACTCAATTCCAGAAGGGCACATGTCTATATAACTTTTACGGGCTTGGCCAAGTCCCCACGTCTTGTTGAGATTGGTGAGCATGTTGCACGCAAAGCTATCATTAGAAGAGTTATCGATGATTCAGGATACTTGACTCTTCAGGGTAAGTTTTGGAGTCTCCAGAGTGGAGAAAAAGCCGAGAGTTCTCAAAAACGACCTCGCTCAAAAGGACCTCGCATTTTCTAGGTGTTTAGCCATGGCTGTGTCTGCGTAATGACAAGATCCATTTGAAGATGTTTGATCAGATAATAAGCCAATAAGCTATCTTGTGCGTTTGAACTGTTTAGGTGAATTTGTTTTTGTGTTGTATGTACTGTTTTTGAATACAAGAAGTTAAGTTATTAATAGGGGGATTATTTAGTTTTCCTTTTCCTTTCCCATTTTGGTCCCTACATCATGAACACTAGGCCTGCCGTTGATGAAAGGAACCCATGAATCTATTGAAATTATCTGCAGGTTTCGAGCTCTAACTTCTCTGAAGATATCAAAGGGCCTACAAGTTCTGTATCTAAATATCTCTGTCAAAGGGCCTACAAGTTCTGTATCTAAATATTTCTGTTATAAATTCATACTCTCACTTTCGACAATAGACAGAAGCATCTGTTGTGTTTGGTTTGGTTGCTCTAAGGTTATCCAACTTATACTGGTCTCTCTTTGCATATAATGCGGCAAGGCTGTTGGATTCTTCATCAACCACACTTCAATGAGTACAAAACTCACAAATTTCTTTTGCTTTCCGATCATGAAAAAAGTAAAACACTCAGAGTCTTAAAAAATGATGATGAACGCAGAGAAGCACTTGAAGATGACCAAGAAATGGCAACAGAGAGATCGATTGCTAGGTTGCAGAGGGATGTTTTGTGGTTTACACGGCTAACAAAACACTCTTTGCTTCTCCACCAAGTTACCTATGCATTCTTTTTTTCAATCTGAAGAAGAGTTCTCTAGCTTCAGGCAAGTGAAACTGGAGGTACATAACCAAACCGGAAGTTAAGGAAATTGAACCAAAGTAAGCTCTTCTTCGGCTCGGTGGTTATTCGGCTACAAATGAATCAGTTGGAGTGGCTGCAGGAAGAAAGAAGATGTGTTATAAGTTCAAGCACACTTTCTCAAGCAAGCAGCTATGGTGACACATTCTGATACAGAAGAAAATGAGAAGTAATTGATATCACATGAAGATATTATTATGGGTTCTGTTTGGACACAAGGATTTTTATGGAAAAGGAAAGATTGAACAAAGTCATTCCAAGAAACTGAATTTCTATGGACGGATAAAAAGATCAAAATTGTCTCTAAGTTGTGACTTCTGAATAAGATTGGTTGACGGTATCTCTAGTTCACATTCTCCATCAGAAAGACACTGAAAAACCAAGGGTCTCTCTCTCACACACCTTTATGCATGGGATGTCATTATCTGCTGTTACTGACAATGAATACGGAAATGTCTCAGTTTCTTTGTGATCATGTTTTAATAGCTCATGTCTCTTCAATGGTTTCAGGGTAGGAAGTTTTAGTAATAGATAATAAACAAGTCGATCCTTCCATTTGAATTGTAGGCAGGACATAGGATGCTCTCTTGGACTGCCTGTCGATTTTCATTCGCAATTGGTTAAAGAACCTTGGGCTGGTTGTGACAATTATCTGCAGATGCTTGGATTTTATGTTACTCTATGATTGCAAGTTGTGGTTGATGAAGAATCCAATAGCATTGTTGCATTATATGTAAAGAGAGGCTAGTATATAAGTTAGATAACCTTAGAGCAACCAAACCAAACAGATGCTTCTGTCTTTGTGGGATGTAATCATACAGGGTGATTAACTACTTAAACAGAGAAAATCAAATATTTTACGAAAAGCTTAAACTGAAATTAGTTTTTTTTTCCCTCAGAGAATAGTAGTAATGTTTGTATAAAAATATCTGAATCTTTACAAAATCTATCTTCTCAGAAGAAACTCTAAAATACAAGCAGTTGTTGAGCACTCTGTTCTTGTTGTTGCAAAGAACATTGTAAAGAACACTTAGCACTAGAGATTGACATTAACAAAGCCTTTTCTGTATCTCCATCCATTCGTCTTTCGATCAATTTGATTAAATACTCTTAAGAAAACAGAATCGAATGGCAACGTGATTGGTCCTTCCGTGGAGAGGCCAAACTCTTCTTCAGATATCTTCAAGAGCTCTTGTAAAACAGAGTTTCTCAGGTAACTTATTGGAAACACAAAGCGGGTTTTATCGGATGTGTAAACCACAAAACAGCCCTTCTCTGCAGTGGTTGAGCTAGTAGCAGTACTTGATCTTTGAAATGAGATCCTTTTCCTGTGGAGGGCTGCTCTCTGTTGCCATTTCTTGGCCATCTTGATTAGCTTCTTGGTGTTCATCATTATTTCTGTGACAAAGATTTAGATTGGAAAGAAAGAAGGAGAAACAAAGAGAAAATATTTGTAAGATTGTTGTGTTGTTGAACTCTTTGAAGTAATGCTAGTTGTAATTGATGAAGAATGCAATAGGATTGTTGCATTATATATAAGCTTAGACAAGAGCTCTTGAGGAACAAAAACCAGACATAAAACACATGCTTCTGTACTTCTAGTAAGTAATCATAAGGGTCCCAAGTTGGTAATCAATCATACATGCAAATCAACTTGTGGATTAAAATATCTGGTGAGAAGTGATGTGTTGCGTTTTTAACGGTTTCGAGTCTTGATTTAGTCCGTGTTTTGAGTCATCTATCGTGTCAAAGTCCGTCTTTTGCGTCTTTTCGGTTGTGTCTTCAGTCCTTTGCAGGTTATAGGTGCTCGAGCTGGATTCGGAGCATCTTGTGCGTGATTGGGCCTATTCGGAGCTAAAACAATGGAGAAACGGTACAAGAGATCACCAGGAGCTGGGGATCGATCGATCCCAATTGTGACGATGAAGCATTCCAGTAGCTCATGATCGATCGATCCCAGGATGGGATCGATCGATCCAACCCTCGTCCGTCAAGAAGTGATCAACCAGAAGCTCGGGATCGATCGATCCCAGGTGGGGATCGATCGATCCACCCTTTTCGACGACCAGACCAGTTTTCCTTAACCGGGTTTATTTGCCTTTTTCTGTACTTGGGTATAAAAACCCAGAGAAACCTATTTTTCTTTCTACGCTTTCTTTTCTGCAATTTTGGAGACTTCTCTTTGTAAGCTTTTTGGGGATTCTAGAGATTCATCCTTTTTGACACTTTGGAGAAGATTTCTAAACCCTTGTTCTTTATTTATCAATTCAATCATGTTTTCTTTTACATCTATTTGTCTTGTTTCAATCGCTATGTGTGAGTAGTCTTTTAATTAGGTGTTAGGGTTCTAATTAGGAGACGATAGATTAATGGATTAATTGTTGTTTGGAATTCTCATTCTCTAGGTTCTTTGATTCACATGTTCTTAATGCTAGAATAGGATTGATCACCCTGTTGTAGAACCTAGGTTTTTCTATGCATCAAAAGTGTTCGATAGAATGCCTGAAAGAATGTGAATTGAGCAATGTATTTCTAGCCAACGAAAGTTGAAGTTAGGACGCATTGTGAACTAAATGAACTTGTTTGATAATGCGAATTTGACTAGGAAATTACATGCGAAAGTTTAGTAATCGAGTAGTCAAATTTAGTGATTAATGTCTTGAAAGAGAATTAGTCTAAGTTGTGTTCATGTTCAAGAACGGTTCGTAATTGTTGAATTCCTTGTCTCATGTTTCCATTGTTTATTGATCTCTGAAATACCTTAATGCCTAATGTCTTTTAATCTTGAAACTTAAATCGTTTAATTCAATTGCATTCTTATTTTACAATTCGGAAAACTCAAACAAAACAACCTTTTCGCTTTAGCTAAGAACGAGTCTCGGAAGTCTTTAGTGTACCATCGGTTCTTGTGGATCAACCCCGTATATACTGCCTTGCGGTTAAGTGTATCGGGTAATTACTCGAGCAATCAAGAAGACATGATCATGTGTGTATGATATGAATCTTGTAAGAAATACAGTTTATAACAACACTTAGATACAAAGACATGTGCAAGTAAATGAAAGATGTAGACCTTGTAGGTCCTTTGATGGTCTTAGAGTAGCTAAAACCATAAACCTTAAGAAATTTTCGTGGCTTTGGTAGGTTTCTGGGGTCTGTGAATATTAACTCCGTGATCCAAAACAATCCTTGTTCGCTTTCAAATACCCGTTAACCGATAAATGAATGAAGGTGTAGCGGCATACGAGATAGTAGACGAACACGTAAAGTACACATTATTTTGTATGTAATATATCTGAAACCTACAAATTGGTTGCTCAGAGACTCTGTACTACAAGTAACTGTTGACTACTCTATTCTTGCTGCTACAAGCATTTCATATTTACTCACGTACGATTTCAGAGATTCATATGGACATTTTGTGAGTTGTAGTTAGTGATATTTTTTTGCTGCTCCACCAATTATATATGAAAGAAAGTTTCACAATAGATATGGCTCAAAAATAGCTGCAATACGGCTTCAGTGAAATGTCTAGAAGATTGCTCTTCAGAAATTTATATGAAATTAGCTCATTTAAAATTCCACTAGTCATATAAAAGAGAAACTATCGTAATGTTGATTTGTGTTTTACTAATCAATTTTTGTGTTTTCTTTTTTAATGGACGTATTAAAGATATAGTACCAAATTTAGAAGAAAAAACAAAGAGAAGGGTCCATTCGCACAAATAAAATAAAGTTGTAAAAAGACGACCCAAAAATATCTCTCTCTGTCTCCTCCAAAGGAACGAAGAGGGCGAGTGAAAAAACACAGTAACCCTTGGCGATTCTGCGACGGAACACTCTCAACTCTTTCAATATCCTCATGTACGGTCTTACATTTCTCACATTCTTCTTACATTTCTTCATTGAAGACAGAGAGATGTGTAAGCTCTCGTACTCCTCAAACCAACCTGCTTTGATTTTCTTTGATTTCAGCTTCCAATCCAACATTCCCAGATGTCAGAACAGTATGAAAAGCTTATCAATAAGTTTCTTGATCTCGACAAGCGCTTGAAAGAGTCTAAAGTCAAGTCTGAGTCTGTGGTTCGCCTCTAGGGTTTTTTTTATTTCTTCCATAAATTTGAAATTCTATCACTTATGTTTGATTTAGTTGATCCCTTTGTACAATGGTTGCAGAACGTTATCTTATTCTAATAGATTTTATATTTCTATGTAGGTGTTCCCTCTTACAGGGGAACTGGAAAACCAGATAACCGATTTAATCAAAAAGGTTAGACATATCTTTCGCCACATAAGAGTTTTATTCCCTTCTTTTTGTCTGGCTTTATGTTCTTAGGCTTTTCTGACGCTTCTTTTGGATGTGTACAGATACATTGTGGATATAACTGGAGACAGATACCAGAAATTTATAAATTTCGTGAAAAGCTTGAGTTTATTTGGAGGAGAAGCTCTTCAAAAAATTATGCAAAAACTTGAAGAATTTGTTGAAGAACAGGCCTATTTGGATACACAGTTTGATGTGAGTTTTTCACATCACATATCTCTGGGGATGAAATAAGTTTCTTGCTTGAATAGCGATGACAGTAATGATTATTCCTCCAAGATATATATATTTTTTTTTTTTTTTTGTTGCTCAAGTAGTCGTCTTTTGCATGTTTGTAAGATTAAAAGAATACTTTTCTTAGCATATATAGATAAAAAGCTTATAGATGATTTACAATCTTTAAATGCAAATCTTGCATGTGTTAGTAGTCTCCATTGTTTATCTTGAGGTCTAATTAGTGGTATGTGAAAAAGATGCCTCTAATGTTTCCTTAAGTTCATTAGTGGATCTTGTCATTACGCAGACGACCATGGGTAAACGCCTAGCCTGCGCGAGGTCGTTTTTTAGAACTCTCAGCTTGTTGTCCACTCGGGAGAGTCATAGAAGGCTGCTGCTCAGTATCTTTACCACTCCAAAACTTACCAAGGAGAGTCAAGTTTCCTGAAGCATCAATGACTCTTCTAATGATAGCTTTGCGTTCAACATGCTCACCAATCTCAACAAGCCGTCGGGACTTGGCCAAGCCCTTAAAAGTTATGTAGACATGTGCAATTTTGGCATTGAGTCTCTCATTAGGCGGCTTCACATCTTCTTCTTCCTTAGTTTCTGTGGCCACATCCACAATCTGCAAATGGGCAATAACACTCTGCACTGTCTGCAGCAACAAAAGTTTTTTGTGAGTTAATTAACAACAGTGCCGTATGCCAAAAAAAAGAGATAAGCATAATACTTACATCTGCAATCTCTCTATCACTTGCACAAACCAAAAGTTCCAAATATAGAGAAATCCAATCAGTGTCTTGCCACTCTGATTTCTTGAGCTGAAAAAGAAAGAAAGTGCTAATTAACTGATCATGAGCAAAACAAAACAGATGCTGCATAATAAGTCATCATAATTACCACGTAAAAGCGTTTAGTGTCATCCAAAGCAACAGCTGAGGGCCAATCAGGCAATGGACCTTTGAAGACACCATCCGCCACTGCGCCACTATGAAAGTGAGGTATGAAGGGCTCCTTGGTGGCCGCTACGCAACATTATTAATCAGCAAGTGTGAGATTGATTAATATACTCGATCTGACTTGTATAAAAATTGAACCACAAATGTCACCTTCATTTGGATTTCTTTTAGGTCTAGCAATAGAGACGGTCAAATCCAAATGGCCATATCTTTTTTCATCAACTCGAACCTGAAAGGTTTTCTGAAATGGGGTAGCTTCTGGATCGTGTGCAAGCAAAGTAATGTAGTAAGAGGACGTAAAGTTCATTGACTTGTTGAAATTCATTAGGGCATCGAGGCTGATGCTTGTCCCCTGAGGTATGAAGAGAGAAAATTAATTGAACAAAGCATAACGCATGTTGATAAAAGAGAGGAGACTATATATATATATATATATATATAGTTTGAAATTACCTCCAACATATTGTAACGATGAAGGCCCAACAAAGCATAACGCTTGACCAAGAGAGGATAAGGAATACGACGACTACGTTGACAGTCGTAGGGAACCAGTCCAGTGATTAGTACTACCGGACTTACATAGTCGTTCTCGAAACCCTAATTAAGACACATGAACAAAATAATCAGTTAGCCATCCCAAAAACAACCCATCAACAAAATAATCAGTTAGCTATTCCAAAAACAACACTAGAATTGATCGAATTGCTTTAGTTTCCTACAAGCTATCAAGAACTATAATTAGGGTTCACAATCATGGAAACAATTAGAAGAAGATGAAAAAAGGAATTACTTCGGATTCGGCCATTGCACGCCAGTATTGCCTCTCATAACGGGAATACTCCTCCATCGTAATTGACTCCCCATCCGACGAATTACTCTCCTCCGTCGCCATTTTCTCCTCCTCGTGTGCCCTGGCTGCTTCTGTTTCCTTTATATCCCATCCATCCGACGGTTTCTTTTATGGGCTTCAGTTGGGACTCCTAAACCTATATCTCATTACATTTTGCTTATAGAATTAAACCTTGTAATCCGGTTTATTACAAGTTTTTAGTTCAACTAGGGGATAATTATTTTTGAGACAATGAAATTTAGTCTCCTTTCTTTCCAATAAATTTAACTTCACGCATCTCAAAAATTTGGACTGATAATCGGCCCATTACGTAAGACAAATGCATTAATTGTTTTAGAGATGATAAAGCGTGTTATTCTTGACTAGTTATTACTGTTATCCGACTCTTAGATGTCTGTTCTCTTACTTGTTTATCATCCCGCATTTTCATTCTGGAAATTCTAAGTTCCATCATCTTTCTACCTCTTTCTTAACTGTTCAATTTGATTCCGGTAAAGTAGAAACATACAATCATGTTCATTGTTCCAACCACCGTGTTGACGAAATTATTATCACTGCAACGGTAGGCCGTCGTCTATACTCGTTGTTAGACTCGCAGTAAGAGATTCCCGGCAAGTTATACTCGCCGATTTTTCTGACGTTTCGTTCTTTTTTTCATGTTTGTCATCGTTTGTGAGATACAAAACTCGAACCGTCTTGAAAATTTAAACTTCATGTTTACTTGTATACATTTTCCATCCTTCATCGTCTGCATTTTTGTTTTCATTAGCCCTTCTTATTTTGTTTTCATTTGTTTAGATATCTACATTATCGGATGTCTCTCTCCTGATCCACTTGGATCTGCACTTAGTATTTGCATGAGATCCAAAAAAAAATGTAGACCTGCATTCATAGCTTCCATGTTGTAATTTCGGTATTATAGATCTTCAATATGATTTAGTTCCACACATTTTTTGCAGGAACATGGATGTTTGTTAGTAGATGATGATCTTCTTTGTTGCTGCTCTTACCACATGAAGGTCCCGAAGGCGCATGTTGAGATGATTCAGAATTTGGATGTGTTTTTGGAATATCTTTGAGTCAGTACAACTTTGATATGACTATGCAATGTATAAAATGACGATCTCTAAATAATTGGTTCTGGCAACTGTCACCATCTAAGGTTTAATACACGCTCTTGTTCTTGTTTTTGTAGAGGCGGTTCGTGCAGCGTTTTAGCAGTATGAAACCGACCCATCATTTAGTTATAAAGATGTCTTCTCTGTATTTTCTTTGAAATTGGATAAAGTATGAGACCTTGATGGAAAAGATGAGGTATTGTATGTATTTATTTTATGTGTGCCTTAAAAAGTCAAACACATCTCCATCGCGTAGAGACAAATTAGACGGTGATGTTTTCGTTATTAAGCTGAACTCGAAACTCATTAATCAAATTTATTTTCCTTTTGTTGACGACACAAACCAATAATGTAGATTGCATGATTTCCTATCCCAAATTTGTCTCTTCACAAAATCATCCATTATTTTTTAGTTTCTTTAAAATACATACGAAATATTCACAAATTTAGTTTCATTTTTCTTCAAATCTTTTCTATTACTACTACTAGTCTATAATCTATATCCATGTTAAAAAAATCGCTAGGCGCTAGTCGGGGGCTCGGGTCAGGCCTAGCGCCTAGCAAAGAAATCGGAGATTAATCGAGGATTAATCGGGGATTAGTTTTAGGTTTTTCTTTTTTAAACAATATATAAATTGCATTTTTGCAAAAGATGCTGTGTTATAAGCGTGGTCTAGTGGTTTCTAATGGAGATTTAACTTCGTGGCACGGGTTCAACTCACGATCTATGCACAAATATTCAATTTTTTCATTTTTCTTTAGTCGAGGGTAAAACTGTAATTTAATATGTTGTCTTCTTCAAAGGGATGCGACTTTAAAACCCTAATTTGCGGCGGCCATGGATGCTTTCTTACAAAATCAATCATTTTAATGTGTTTTTATTGGGTTTTATACCAAAAACTTATAGATCTAACACATACTAACTTCATCCAAACTTAAAAAAGAAAAAAAACTCAATTTTTCTTAACTTTTCCGATTATTTGACCGATTATACTATAATCCCGGCGGTAAGGTGCCGCCGAGCGACTAGCCGCCGTGGAATCGGCCGATTTGACCGAGTTTTTGAACAAGGGTCTATATAAAGGGAAAATTCCCAAAAAAAACCTCTTATATTTTTTATTTGGACGTTTAATACCCAATTGTTTTCGGTTGGAAGAAAAATACACATATTAATAAAACTGTGTGATTTAATACTCAAACAATTAAATGTTGTTATTTTCATACTCATGAACTCACAACAAAAAAAATATTCCAATTTTACCCTTACCATCTCAATTAATTATTAACTTTTAAATAATGTGGTATTATTTTTTATTTAAATAAAAATTAATTTTGTTAATGTTTTATTTTATGTTGCCTAAAAAATAAATTTTAAATTTATATAATTATTTTATTTTAAAATTAAACATAAAAATTAGCAGAAAATCAAAAATATTAAAAATAGTCATTTGTACAATCTTATTCCGTCTTTGCAATGTTAAAGAGACGTTTCCTCTTCGATTCTAATTTTTTCGATTAATATCTACGAGAATTACCGGTAAACAATCTCCGTCGTCCTCTTTTGCAACCATCAAATTCGATAACCGTTCACAATCTCCTTTTAATTCTATCCAAAATCTTCATCGCCAATAAAACTAATTTGATTTGATTCGTCGTGATGCATATGATATCAACGAGCATCAATATGAACTTTTTCTTCGTCGTGAGAAACTCTCTATTCGAATATAAATTCTTCACGAATGAAACTATTTTCGACAAAATCTCAATCCGAATCTCATCGTCTCTCTCAAGATTTATCAATTCATAAAAATGGCTAACTTTTTTTATACTTTTTCTAAATTTTTTGCTAATTAATTTTATTTTTAATTTTTAAAAATTAAATATTTATAAAATAAACTGCAAATTATTTTGAATTTTTTTTGGGATAACAAAGAAATGAAATATTAATAAAATTAATTTTTATTTAAATAAAAAACTATTGTCACGTAATCTAAAAGTTAATAATTAATTGAAATAGTAAGTAAAGTTGGAATTTTATTTTTGTTGTGAGATCGTGAGTATGAAAATAACAACATTTAATTGTTTGGATATTAAATCGCACAGTTTTATTAATATGTGTATTTTTATTCCAACCGAAAACAATTGGATATTAAACGTCCAAATAAAAATAATTGAGGTTTTTTTTGGGAATTTTCCCTCTATATAAATAATAATCTCATAATTTATTTCCGAGTAATCCCTATTTTCAACTTGCGAAAAGAAGAAAAAACAAAGAGAAGGGTCGATTCGCACAAATAAAATAAAGTTGTAAAAAAGACGACCCAAACAAAACGACTCGGCTTCTTTTTATTAGACCACTCTCTCTTTCTTCTTCTTCAAATCGGATCCAAGATAAACCTCGATTGATCTCAATGTCGATTTATGTGCTCTTATGATTCTGTGCTCACCTAATTTAGCTCCAAATCCCTCGCACTCAGATTCTTCAAAGCTTTTTTCGAGGTTTTGGAATAAAAAAAATGGTGTTGCCGTTGATGAAACTGGGCACACTCGCCGTCAAAACCATAAGTAAACCATTGGCTAGTCAGCTCAAGCACCAAGCTAAGGTTCATCCAAAGTTTCGTCAATCTATCATCAACTTCGCTCAGGTCTCTGATTCTAAACTCGCTTTTGAGATTCGTTGCTTCTCTTGATCTCGATTTTTGAACTTCCAGAATCTAGTAGGATTTGTTGCAGAGAATGGCGTGGTTTAGGTTAATAGTTGTTGGAAATTGATTGTGTTGTTGGATTATGTGAACAGAGAAATCATCGAATCACGACGCAAATGCAAAGACGGATATATGGTCATGCCACTGATGTAGAGATTCGTCCCTTAGATGAGGAAAAGGCTGTTCAAGCTGCTGTTGACCTCATTGGAGAGATCTTTCTCTTTGGGGTAACACTCTTTACTCAACTTTCTTTGTTCAGCTGTTGTTTTAGATGAGACGGATATGGAATTACCTTCATTGACCTGTTATATCTCATCAAATGGTTAGTCTTAGTTGCATTCTCACCAACTGGTAATGGTTTATGTGAAATGGATTATTGTGACCTTGAGCAACTGGATCATGGTTAAGATGTTTAGGGGATGGAGGGAAACTTAACAGCTTATGTGATAGAGCTCTTTTGATGGAATTATTTGGTTCTACTCAATCATAGCTTGTGATGCCATCTAATCAGACTCTAGTCTTGTTTCAGCTATCTGTAGGTGTATTTTGATGAGTTACTATCAGTAATAAGTTAACAATTGTTAGTTTCTTCCATATGTCCCATATCAATTTACTGGATATCTTGCATGGTGTCAAAGTCAGATAAATTAAAAAAAAAAAAGGCTGGTCTGAGTGTCATTCTTCTATGCAATTCTCAATTGTTCTGTAGAACTAATAGATTATATGTGCAGGTCGGTGGAGCCGTTGTTGTTTTTGAGGTGCAGAGAAGTTCACGGTCTGAGGCAAGAAAAGAGGAAGCACGTAAGCAAGAACTAGAGGTACACTGAATACTTTTGGAAGATAATTTTTGCCTCATTAAGTGTAGACTCCCATGTGCTGTTCAGGATTTAGCATTGTTACATACTGACAGTGTTAGTTAGTAGAGAGTGGGTTGCATATTAATTCGTCAAATTAGCATATATCAACATGCTCAGGAAGAACTTATAATATAAACTCGCATAGATAAATGGTTTTAAGGAAATGGTGGTAGTGTTTTCAGATTTCCAACTCCAGACTTCCTAAAAGTTGCAGCCTGTAGAATTGGTTCTCATTCCTTGAAGCTTTAAGATATCCGTCTTATTTAAAGGAGCTTTGTAAACATTTATAGACATGGTTACATGTTGTGCCATAGATGAAAACAATTATCAACATTCGTATTCAATGTATGTTCACATTAGCTTGAAATCTGCAGTAACAACTAAACAAAATAGCATTACACTAGTTAAGAGACCGAAAAAACTTGTGGGCTTGTTCTAACGAGATAGACTACTCAGAAATATCAATGTTGAGGTTTGATTATTGATTTGGTTGAGATTTGTGAATCTCTTGGTTTTACAGGAGTTGAGAATAAAAGATGAAGAACTAGAAAAGCAAGTGGCGGATCTCAAGAGCAAGCTAGAGGAGCTTGAACAACTTGCTAAGGCACGCGGGTTGAGCGGTATTTTCCAGTTAAAACCACAGCCCGGTACTACGGCTAGTGGGAAACCAGACAAATCCAGTTGAATCATCATCATCATCTTATTCAATCTACAAGACTCGAATCAAAGTTAACAATACGCCATACGGTAATGATTCTTTTTCACAAGAGCTGAAGAGTTTCTGATTCTCTCCTCCACATACATGTATCATCATCAAGAACAGTTTTGATGTTGAGGTTTTGTCTTTTCAACATTAGTTGCTTAGATTTGGTCTTTTGAGACCAATGGCTCGATTTTAGGTAATGTTGGATAATGACGAATTCATTGTGAAAGCGACCTTGAGAGATATACCAAATTATTTCTTTCTCCACATTACAAAATCTACATCATATTTATCCATGATCTCTAATAAGGTCAAAACTGTAGCGACAACTAGTTTGGTTGTGGTAAAAGGCGATCAATTCTTCCAATAGAATAATGTCTTTTATCCCTAAACGATTTCATTTTACATGAGAGACGAAAGGAACCTACGTGTATGTCGTTCTGTTTATTCCACAAAAAGTCTCGATCGGTGTCCTTGTTTTTTTTTCTTTATTTAATGCTAGAATGAAAGAAAAAAGTTAGTATATTAAAAAGTGAGAATATCTTTTGGTGGTAGAGAAAGGGGATACTAGGGGGAACGATCATTTGGGCAAATGCTAAGAAATTCCTTAAGAAGTTTCTCATATTTTTTTATAACGACGATCAAAAAGAAAAACAAGACATCGATTTCTTAGCTAATTATAAAGTTTTTTTTGGGTGGGAAGCTAATTATTAAGTTAAGTACGTAGTATGTTGTATAATATAATCTTGGGAAAAGATGGGGGTAATCAAAATGGGCTAAGTCGTTAAGCTAAAGTAATTTATGAATTAGATTAGTTCAAGTCATTTATATAAAGTCGAATATATACCAAAATGATATATCTTACTATTAAATATTAAAAACTGATCCATTTATTGGAAAAAAAACTGCAATAGTTAAAAAAAAAATACAAAGAAAATAGTTTTGGAATTCTAAATTCAATCCAACGCACAAGAGTGAAAATATTGTGATCTAAAATCGTGTAATGATCATCTAAATAGTATAAATTTATCCCATTTGAGAGTTTGAAGCAGATTTAAGAATAACAAATTTACCCACATTAGTAGTAAGTAGTTTAATTAATAAATCTATTCGGGACGAATTTTCCTATTTACCAGACGGTTGAATCGTTATGGTGATGTTCTTCGAAACACATCAATGTTGAACTCATTTTTTTGGTAGATAATTGCTCCGCGAGAGTGTAACAATTTGATAAATATCATTTTGTTCGTTTCCAACATGGGAGGACACATGCTTTCTTCTACCATTAAAGTATTGGTTCGACGTTAAGCATCGATCATCTAGTGGAACCACTCTTGTCCCTAGCTTCTTTTGTATTCGCGGTGGATGTTTTGTCACACATGATATAGAAGTTTATTATGGTAAACACAAAAGATCAAAATTTATTCCATCGACTAGAGACATTCACCTTGGAGACCTTTAAGAAAAAGGGAAAAAAAAATCTGTAACTTTATTCACCTTGGAGACCCTTTTGTATGAAAAGAGAAGAAATTTAGATTCAGCATAGGTTTGATTGGTGAACTAAAAAAGAGTATTACAAATTATACAGCTTTTATTTTTACCAATCACAAAAACTCTATTAAAAGCGTTACAAAAAGTTTTACCCTCAGCTTTTTTGTACAGCTTTCTTGTACAGCTCTTTCATACAGCTTTGCACTATTCCGGTAAAGCTTACAGCTCCAGCTAACAGCTAAAAAATTTGTACAGCTTTTGGTTACCAATCGGACCCTATCAACTCTATGATCAAAAAAAAAAAAACCCTACTTGTCCACTGTTACTAATTTGGTCCCGGATTTAAAATAAAGTGAAGTGGTGGACCGATCTATTCCAACCAGGGAGATATGATGTAAGGAGCATACTATTTTTCACTTATACACACTGAAAGAAAATGTTGTCAATATGGCTATTTAACTGTGATCAAAATATAATCGTATTCAGTCAATAATTTGTATGTTTAAATTAGTGAGATATTATTTTTTATAACCTAATTAAGAAGATGAATTTGAGTTTGTTTTAGAGTTCATACGACGAACAATATGTATTTCAAAATGAGAATAATACATAAAGAACGATAGAATATGACCATTGATGAAATTGAAAGTAGACGGTATGATGAAAATTGATGAGCATCACAAAATAGGAATATGGAAAACATAGTGGAGAAAAGCTAGTTATATTCCTTCCTTGCCAATATCTCCTTCTTTTCTCGTAAAAGAAAATAATAATAACTAGTATTCACGACACTTGTCCAAATTCTCTACCCAAGATTCCTTTGTTTGCTTGTTTGTTTTTCCTCCAAAAGTAATGCAAGTCCTTGCAAATTTACATTAGGTACAAAAAATTCTCATTAATAGTTCTTTTGTTAAAACTCATTGAAAGGATATAAGAAAAACAATTTATTTAGAAATGACCAATGTCAAACGCAACCAAAATTACGGTTATCTATCTAGTTGACGTTTTCATGAAAATACGTTACACTTTCAATATTCAAAAGTCTTTATCGTGGTTATACTACGATACTATCATAAAGTCTATGTCAATTTATCAACAAACTATTCTTTCTCGAAAGAAATGGTATCATGAATCGTATTTATTTATTTTATTCATACGACTACAAGCTATGCAAAATTGCAAACCACTCCCCTCCGTACACATTGGTCTTAACATTTTCTAGTTATTTTTCAAATTATCCATCCCTAACTAGCAGTTTCAAAACTTTCCACGATCCATTGATATCCTACATTTTCTTATTAGGTGTTTGTCTTACTTTTCCTGCATGTATAAATTTTGTTTAGCTTCAGATTAAATCTTGGATTCGATCATCGCATGGTTACTATTTCTTACGGATCCTAATCCAAACTCTGGTTTTAGAAAAATTCTTGGCGGCTTCCAAAATATATTACCACAGTCTTTGTGAGACGGAGAGAATAATTAAACTTTAGTTTGTTTAGAAAAAAAACAAAAATAATTATTTATACAACAAATAGTAAATTTTAAATGCTCATTTAATATTTCTTAATATAAATGCCATAAAAAGAAAACATGAACAATAAAAAGAAAAGAATCCATAATAAATACAGTCTATATAATGTTTTCAAGTATATATACAGTACACATGGCAAAATTTTCAAAATAATGATTAAATTCTCATAAACTTTCCCCAAAAAATTGATAATTTTTAGCTCAAAAATTAATTCATTGAATTAGCTCATAAAAAGGAAAAAGAAAAGTGGAGGGTGAGAGAAGAAGAGAATCCAGCAACGTTTCTCTAATTCCTTTGTGGATTTTTGTTTTTAATTTATTTTGTGTGACACTCTCTTTTATTTTTTATTTATAATTTTTACTCTCTCTTCCTTTCTCTTCATTACTCTTCTTTTTTTTTTTTCCATTCAACAAATTTCTCTTTGCCTTTGTTGTTTGCTGCTTTTGCTGCAGCTACAGAGAGTAAGTTGATTTTCTGGGTTCCTCCAAAATTTCTCGTCTTTTGTTTTTGCTTCAGAATCGATTAGTCCTTGTGATCTGTTGTTCCTTTAACTCTGTGCATGATTCAATTTCGTGTTCGTAACCTGTGTTTTTGCTGGGTGTTTATCTCTATAGAAACTTGACGATCCTAAAACTTATGATCCTTTTGATTCTTCATCGTTTAGCTAGGGCTTTTGTTGGTTCATCGATTTTTGGAATTTATTTTACTGTAATCTAAGCATGTGTCAATGATTCAAATTGGTTTTGTTAGAGTGATCAATGTTTGTTAAAGGAGCAGAACTGATGTGAAAGTGTGTATTTTGAATGTTTTTGGTTTGGACAGAGAATCTTGTGTGAAGGAAGTTTTTTTGATTTCTTATGACGGGGAAGAGATCAAAGACTAATTGCAGATCTGCTTCTCACAAGCTGTTCAAGGATAAGGCTAAGAACCGTGTTGATGATTTGCAAGGCATGCTTTTGGATCTTCAGTTTGCAAGGAAAGAGAGTAGGACTACTGATGTTACTCTTCTTGAGGAGCAAGTGAATCAGATGCTTCGTGAGTGGAAGTCAGAGCTCAACGAGCCCTCTCCTGCTTCTTCTTTGCAACAAGTATGGTTTCCTTTGTGACTTGCATGGGTGGTTTTTGGTCTATGTGTGTTAAATGGGTTTATTTTCTTTGTTGTTTTAGTCATTGTTAGTTGTGTGCTTTTGTTTTGCTTAAGCAGGGTGGTACTCTGGGGTCTTTCTCATCAGACATTTGTCGGCTGCTGCAGCTTTGTGATGAGGAAGATGATGCCACCAGCAAATTAGCTGCGCCCAAGCCTGAGCCTGCTGATCAGAATCTGGAAGCTGGCAAAGCTGCTGTTTTCCAAAGGGTGAGTTGCTCTTTACAACCAATTTTTAATGGTTGTGTTTGGAGTCCATTATTGTGTTTAAGTACTGAGGTCGTGGTGAAATTTTTCAGGGATACAATTTGGTTCAGGGGAAGTCAGAACATGGATTACCATTGGTTGATCATTGCAAAGATTTGTCCTTAGCAGCTGGTAACAATTTCGATGGAACGGCTCCTTTGGAATTTCATCAGCAGTTTGATCTGCAACAAGAGTTTGAACCAAACTTCAATGGTGGTTTCAACAATTGTCCCAGTTATGGTGTAGTGGAGGGTCCTATACATATCTCTAATTTTATCCCGACTATTTGTCCTCCACCCTCTGCATTCTTGGGTCCAAAATGTGCTCTTTGGGATTGCCCTAGGCCAGCTCAAGGATTCGATTGGTTCCAGGATTACTGCAGCAGCTTCCACGCTGCACTGGCTTTCAATGAAGGGCCACCAGGTATGAATCCGGTGGTGCGTCCTGGAGGTATCGGCCTAAAAGACGGTCTGCTTTTTGCTGCCCTTAGCGCAAAAGCTGGAGGGAAAGATGTTGGTATTCCTGAATGTGAAGGAGCTGCAACTGCTAAATCTCCATGGAATGCTCCAGGTAGGCTTTACTCTCTTGGAATTCACATATATGTTAATTGTTCACCATTCTTGTGCTGATCATACTCAAATCTTGAATTTCTGGTGTGACTGTAGAGCTCTTTGATCTCACGGTTCTGGAGAGTGAGACACTAAGGGAGTGGCTATTCTTTGACAAGCCAAGGAGGGCCTTTGAGAGCGGGAACAGAAAGCAAAGATCTTTACCAGACTACAATGGTCGCGGTTGGCACGAGTCACGTAAACAGATCATGATCGAGTTTGGAGGACTGAAGAGATCTTACTACATGGATCCACAGCCTCTGCACCATTTTGAATGGCATCTTTACGAATATGAGATCAACAAGTGCGATGCTTGTGCCTTGTACAGGCTCGAGCTCAAGCTTGTTGATGGGAAGAAGAATTCAAAAGGCAAAGTTTCAAACGACTCTGTGGCTGATCTGCAGAAGCAGATGGGAAGACTTACAGCTGAGTTCCCTCAAGAAAACAATACCAATAACACCAACAACAACAACAAACGCTGCATCAAAGGAAGACCAAAAGTGAGCACAAAAGTCGCCACCGGGAATGTTCAGAACACAGTAGAGCAGGCAAATGACTATGGAGTAGGTGAAGAGTTTAACTATCTGGTCGGAAATCTAAGCGACTATTATATCCCCTGAGAAGAAAATGAAAAACTCAGGTTTGAAAAGCTGTTGCTTACCATTTAACTACAGCAGCAGAAGAAGCTTCTACATACCGTAGGGCAAAGTAATGGATTTTCATGACTCGTATATTTTTTTTCTTATATTATAGTTCTCTCTATCTATGGAGATTATGTATATATAACAAGAAGGGGATGCTGAAGACTGTCCTGGAGTTAGGAAAAGTAAATGTGACAAAGGAGACTGCTTTTTAAGATTCAGTCTGTGGAGGTGAAGACATTTACTGACATTCCGGTTTATATATTTTGATGCATTTTCGACTCTCTTCTGCGTTATAATGCAGATGACAAATTATGTAACCGATGGGGAATACGGTTTTGAGTATCAGTGTTGTTCTTATAGAATCATGACGTTGTTCAACGAGATCATCGATCGTGCTCTTACTTAAGTCTATTTCACAGATTTGGGGCTTTGTTAAAAAATTTCTCCGCAGAGCTTCAAAATCTTAAGAATCGTTTTATCACGTTCTCACTGATTATAGGAATAGTAAGCTTAAGGTATTTGTATTTCATAGATGCGACGAAATTTTACAAGCAATCAATCAAATCATATCCTACATATGTTGTAAAATTTTTATCTAACGAGACAGGAACTTGGCTATGGTCATTGTGCCAATAGTGGTCTGACCAATGCAAAAGGACGATCTGAATTCACAGACATTAACAATTCCAACACAACTACTTTTTTCGGAGGGCGACTCTTAAGACCAGGCTCGATCAGCCCTGCAACACAAAGAATGACACAACATTATCATAATCAATATACTTAAAGGATAAGAATAGCATTGAAATTAAGGAATTGAAAGAAGAATCATGGTGTTACCAGGCTTGAGTTTTTTTCCCCCATAAAGTTCTTTAGCCAAAGGATTAGCAGCCCAGTGATTCACAGCCACCCGGCTTGTCGGTTGGAACCCTATGATTTTACCTTCAGATGATAACACTACCTGCTTCCATTAAAGAAATCAACAAAGATGAAGTAGTAGTCCACTTAAAGAATTCAATTCATCACAATTCACTGAAATTACCTGGTAAGTAGCGATATCTTGCGCAGATGCCTTTGCGTCTTCATTGAGTTTCTCCAGAAGAGAAGAGCTTGTAACGATGTGATCTTCAACAGACTTAGCTCTGCTGGTTTCTTTCAAGTAATCAGGTACTTCCCCAATCCAGGAACCTATGCTGCTTTCCTGGGTTATCTCCCCTCCCCAGCTGTAGGCATCCTTGAGCTTGTTGACGAGTAATCCGCAGAATGAATCCAACTACTCATTTGAAGTTTCAGAATTTAGTTTTCGAAAAAACAGAAAAAAGCACCACAAAAAAGACCAAAATAATAATAATGATTCACGGTTAAGGTTAATCTCATTCTCAGTATAGAGTCCATATACATGGTTAAGGTTGATCTCATTCTCAGTATCGAGAGTCCATAATCATGCAGAAATCACTATTAATGTCTACGTGCAATTGCTGGCCTACAAATCTATATGAATACAAGTGTTTTAGTAATCCCTACCTCGGAGGAATCTGAAGATTGATGGGATAACAATTCACTCTCTGACCATAAAATATCTTGGCGTTTTCCAGGATACTTTCTCTCGCTTTTCTGAGGAAGACAGAATTGAGCCGCAGCACTCACAGCAAGAAGAAGAATTCCACTGGCCATAGTGACAGATATGAATTTCAAAAAAGACAATCCTCTCTGTCAATAAAGAAAAAGCAAAACCAAAGAAGTTAACAGAAGTTTCATAAAGACAGCTACCAAAATTAAGCCAATCTTATTAACTCACAACATGTCTCCAACATAATGGTAAAAACTCTAATAGTAAACATGAATATATTCGGCAGACTGAAAACATATTTCATCACGTAACCGTAATGAATCATTTGATAAAATAGAACAAGTGATTATCACGGAGAATACGGATTATATACAGACAGTGATTTATCAAGGACTATCAATTGGCTCTGATTTCATACACAATAACAGATACCAAAATATCATATCAGAAAGATTGGCTAAATTTTAGCAGACCAGTAGTCATTACCTTTTCACTGGGTAAGTTTGCATAATTTCCAGGAACATCACATGGTAGCTGTTTCCTGGGGAGTGAATATATATCTTCAAAGTAAATGTCCAATGCTTCAGCTAATCCAACCTGAAGGGTTTCATACAAGTGTCAGGAATGTAGGGGACCTCATTAAATAACATGCATGGAAACAAACACGTTAGTTACCACAGAGCACATAAAATACTGCAGTACAAAATTTTTATTGCACCAGATCCCTTGATTTGTAAAATATCTTTCATCTTGCTAGCTTTAAATCCCACGCAGACTATCAGTATCTTGTTGTGGGTATAGGTAAAAAGGAATGAATACTCTTATGGCGGATTCTACATTGTCTAAGATGGTCTATCCATCAATTCTGAACGATATTCGAAGTCTTTATCTACACTAAACAGAACAATATAACATAGCTCCACATTATCATATAACCATGAACAACTAAGACGTATAGAAATGATAACCTAGACTGCTAGCCAGACAAATATATAAAGGGAGAGCAACACTCTGCACTTCCTAGTCCTACACAAAGCATCAAGAACAAAAGCCTAGATGGATAGTTTACATAAAGCAAGAGAAAACGTCGATACCATTTGGGAGTGAGTTAGAAGAACTTCCCACTTATTCTCACTGGACTTTCTCCAGCCCTCAAGCTTTAAGTCTGCAAGTATTGTAGTATCAATTTCTAATCGATATGCAGGTAAATATTCACTTGCCCAACTACTAAATCCAGGGCCACCGATTTTTTCCAACTTAGAATTGGCAGATAAGTTCCACCACCGGCTTCTTTGCCTTGTGTCTGCAAGTTTGAAATTTTCCTTCCTTGACTGGTAATACTCAAGCAAGTGGTTGGTATTCAGCTCATCATCAAATAACTTATGCAGGACAACCGAGCAGTCTCTTGAAGCAATCCTCTTGTGTTTATTTAACCACTTTAAAAAGGGAAATTCAACTTTTCCCAGATAGTCATTGAGGAAATGCTTCTCGGTGCTTTGAAGAGCAGAGATGCATATAACTTCTGCAATAACAGATATAACCCGTTCATCGGATGAGCTAAGAGTGAAGGATGTAGAAACCTGCTGATAGGAAATGAATAAGAAAACTGAACCTATCAGTATCAATTCCCACTTACAGGGCCAGTATCACTAGAAACATTCACATCAAAGCGAAGTTAACCTCTCGAGGGTTTTCGAAATCTCCCATTTCTCTTTCAGTTCCAGGTGCAAATAACACCAGCTGGAAGTTCCACAGCTGCCGCAAAACAACTTGCCTAAAAGTCATCGCAAGTATGTTCTTGGACAAATCTCCACTAGAAAGATCCTCAGAGAGAGACCGCCGTAATCTTTTAGCTCGCTCTTTAACTTTCTTAGTAGGCAAGAACTGTTCAAAGAGAATGTTACCTTCAAATGTCAAGTCAAAAGCAGCCGAAATTCATAATTAGAACAAAGCTAAGCTGAAAAACTGACCAATCTTGTTGACACAGTAGCCTTAGGATCAGATCCTCCGGGAAAAACAGTCTCGACCACCATGACAGGGACATTATCACGAAGATGTTCATCGGCGGCTTCACCACCGTCAGCAGCAGCAGCGGTTAAAGCCTGATCAAAAGCAACAGTACCAACGAGGCTAAGCCGAGCTGAATTATTCTCGTACGTCCGCACACAAGGAAGTGCCTTCCCATCGGATTCCGCCACGAAACGGAGAATGTCCTCCTCCGTAGAAGAATTCTTAGAATAACAGCGAATGAAAGACACAGAGCTTCTCCGGAGTGGAATTAACGGAATAGATGCGAAATTTCGAGAGGGGAATAGAAGTGAAGAAGAAGAAGCAGTAGAAATAGAAGCCATTGACGAACAGATAAAATCACAGAGAGTCCTAAAACCCTAAGGGGGGTTTGAGGTAGACGAAACAATAAAACGGGTTCGTTTTTGGTACGAGAAAGTGTCACGTGGCATTATCGGACACGTGTCAGTGGTTATAGAGTTTACAGAGAAAGGTTAAAAAAACATTTTCAACATCTGAAAGAAAGAATCTAGACGACGACAATGGTGGAGAAGAGCCAAATCCCTGAAAACAACACCACTTCTTCGTCGGCGAAGAAACCGACGCCGGAGATTGGATCGGGTTCGAGTAAAAGGTATTATAACCCGCCCGAGTCGGTGAATCCGGATCAGGCGACTTTAAGGGAGCAATGGAAATTCGCAATGCGACAATACAGTAAATGGTACTCACATGCTTGGGGAAGTGCGATTCTCGCCGGAGGAGTCTTCTTCGGACTCGGTTGGATCATCAAGGGCTCTAATCCTCTTCCTTCTCTTCAATCGAGTTCTAAGCATCGCGATGAAGAAAAATGATTCCGCGTCTGCGTTTTTTTTTCTGGTGAGATTCGTTTTGTTCAAATTGAGTATCTTAATTCTTATGGTGTAGAATTTCTTCTTGATTATGAGTTTAGGATTAGGGAATTGGAACTAAGTTCGTGTTTGTTCTAATGGACATTTTAGGATTGTTATAGCTTATATAGGTCATTTGATTTTATTGAACTACGCTTTTTTAGATCCTTAGATATCGAAATCTGTATGGACTCTGGTTTTTCCTACTTGTAGATGATTCAGCTCAGAATCTAGTTTTCTTTGAGCCGAATATTATCCAACTTTATGCAGATTTTTGGAAGAAATGAAGATGGTTATGTTCATTTGCTACTCACATCTTTAGTTCCATATTCGTCTGTTTTTGCAATTTGAGCCTGAAATATCTGAAAATGGAAGGTCCATATCTCAAGTACTAAGTAATTTTGGATAATTCCTATGTTTGTGTTGCACTCAAAATCTGCAATTCTTCTTCTTTTTCTTTGCTGTCTTAAGCTTTTTAAGAAACATTTCGAAGCACAATTTTTAGGATTTCACGCTCATATGCTATAAACTGATGAGGCTGTTTTAACCTCTATTTGCAGATGAGGGGAAAGCAGCATAAGACGCGAGATGGTGCGTCAACAATGGAACATCTTCATGTACATTACGAAGTACATCAATGATCAATCGTTAGAATCAGAGAGAGCACGAAGCAAGCGGTTGTAGAGAGTAGAAACGAAAGAAAAAAACTTGAGTTTGAACCTTGTTTGTTTGATAATTCCAGGAATGTATACAAATTTGCAGGAAAATAGTGAAAAATGTTAATGTTGAATGATAAAAAATACAAGAAAAAAGTGAGAAGTGTCTATGCAGAGCAGCAACCGGGTTTCTTAACGGCTGAGATATCATCTCGGCTTCCAACATTAATCATTTGTCCTTTAGGCAAAGCGGTGGTTGGATCATCTCCAGCTTCAAGAGCCTTCTTGCTAACAACTCTGTAAATCTGAGTGAGAACTTCGGTGAAAGCATTATCAACATTCACAGCTTCAAGTGCAGATGTCTCCATGAAAAAGGTATTCTCTCTCTCTGCAAAAGCCTTAGCTTCTTCAGTTGAGATGGCTCGAAGGTGACGAAGATCAGCTTTGTTACCAACGAGCATAATCACAATGTTTGCGTCCGTGTGGTCCCTTAGCTCCTTGAGCCATCTTTCAACGTTCTCAAATGTCACGTGACGTGTCACGTCATAAACAAGTAATGCACCAACGGCTCCTCGGTAATAAGCGCTCGTGATGGCTCGGTACCTAATTTTAAATGTACTCGGTCATCATGCAAATGTAAATAGCTTTTAAGAGTAATTTTATAGTAAATACCTTTCTTGGCCGGCGGTATCCCAGATTTGAGCCTTAACAATCTTATCATCGCATTGGATGCTACGGGTGGCGAATTCGACACCGATGGTCGCACGTGAGTCGTGGCTGAAATCATTTCTGGTGAAACGAGATAACAAATTAGATTTTCCGACGCCGGAATCCCCGGTTAAGACCACCTTGAAGAGGTAATCGTAATCATCTTCTGCTCTATATGCTCCCATCTTCTATCGGAAATAAACCTCTTTGTCTTTATGAGAGGATTATAACTAATAATGAAAAAGTATTTGGCTGTTCCAAGAACTTGGGATGACTATGAGAAAAATCCCAAATGCGTTTTCTTTTTATTTTTGGTTCTAAAAAATTAGTTTTATTTTCTCTTGTTTTTAACGTTTTCTAAATTGGAGAAGACACCAATTTGAGTTTTGAATATTGAGAAGACAGCGATAGAAAACAGAAATTCAAGGAATCTCCTCTACTTTGAATTTGGCTAAACATAAACATTTCTAATTTTCTACCGCATAATAACGATGAGAGTTTTTGACAAAGGCTAAACATAAACATTTCGGTTTGAATTTTCTGGTTGGTTCGGCCATCAGCAAGTGTGAGATTTGATTATATATATATATACTCGATCGACTTGTATAAAAAGAAAATTGAACAAGTCACCTTCATTTTGATCGCTTTTAGGTCTAGCAATAGAGACGGTCAAATCCAAATTGCCAAAAAAAATTCCATCAACTCGAACCTGAAAGGTTTTCTGCAATGGGGTAGCTGCTGGATCGTGTGCAAGCACAGTAATGTAGTAAGAGGACGTAAAGTTCATTGACTTGTTGAACTTCACTAGGGCATCGAGCCCGATCCTTGTCCCCTGACATATGAAGAGAGAAAATTATATAACAGAGCATGCATGCATGTTGATAAAAGAGAGAGGAGACTACATTTAGTTTTAAAATTAAATGTGAACATATTGTAACGATGAAGGCCCAACAAAGCATAACACTTGACCAAGAGAGGATAAGGAATACGGCGGCGACGTTGACAGTAGTAGGGAACCAGTCCAGTGATTATACTACCGGACTTTCATACTCGCAATCGAAACCCTAATTAAGACCCATCAACAAAATAATCAGTTAGCCATTCCATAAGAACTAGGGTTTAATTATTATATGTGAAAAGGAGGAACAAATCATGGAAACAATTATTAGAAGAAGATGAAAGACTTACTTCGGATTCCGCCACTAACGGGAGTACTCCGCCAACGTAATTGACTCCCCATCGGTCGCCATTTTCTCCTCTTGAGAATGAAACCTTGTTATTCGGTTTATTACAAAGTTTACTTCAATTATACAATGAGTACTCGATAAGTGATGCTTAAGCTTTTGGCATAAGAATTAAGAAATTATTTAAATTTTTTTCTTTATTTTTTTTTTTTTTTAATTTGAGAAGACAAGACTCATCATGTCTTCTTGCAACGACAACAATTTCTTCGTATTCTTTCTATCTATATATTATGCAACAAGAAGATCATCTTCAGTCATACACATAATCATACACTGGGAAGTCACGGTTAAGTGGGCCTTCCTCTGAGTGTAGAAGCTCAAAACAAACATCACAGAAATAGCAAGTGTTCTCGTTGGCCCACTTGTCATCCACTGCAACCTTTGAAGCTCTCTTTATCTTGCAAACACCGCATTTCTGAAGCCTACGTTTCGGCCGAAACATGATCGGGTAAGCCGTTCTACTCTGAACGTCCTCTGGATGACTCAGCCTCATGTCTCGAATCACAATCGTGTGCTTGCAATCTCCCTGTTCCAGGGTTTAATCAGTGAATATCTTGAGTCTGTGCGAAATATTTTCATAAGATGAGAAATTAAAGAAACAAAAAAAAGAGAGAAGATCTTACCTGATGACAATAGAGATAATTAGCTCCGACTCTGAATCTTATATCACAGAACCGTGTACTCTGCATATCTGCAGTTCCGTAGCGAGGTAAATCCACAGATTTCGCTTCACCGAGAACCAGTTTCTGCTTTTTATGTAATTCGCCAGTTAAAACGCAGTCCCATTTTTTAAGAGCCTCATCTTTCGAGTTCCAAAGCCAATCTAAAATAGGATAGCTGTAATCTTTAGCCGAGGGATTCCTTAAATCATTGTGAAAGACATCCTAGACAACCAAAAAACATCTGATTAAACCAGAGAAGAAGAATTAAACTTAGTTAATAGTCAAAAGATAAGAAAATGAACAGATGAGTTCTTACTTCTATGAGGAAGTATCCAGAGGGATCATACTTCCCAGCCTTTTTCATCACCTGGTCTGTAGCACAGTGAATGTTGTCCTTCAATTCAGTCAACATTTGACGTCCTAGAACCAAAAATTCTTGGGTCTGAACAAAACATTATACAAGTATTGTTAGAAGGTGGGACAATCAATTCAGTCAATCTTCTATATCGCGCATCAGAGGTTTACAGAACAATGCAGTACCTTAACCTTGCGACTGTTATAAATCTCAACACACAAAATGACTTCAGGAAATAGCGGATCCACATGTCCCTGGATGTCCGATGGCTTCACCAGCTGTTTAAATAGGAAGAAGATAATACTTAGCAGGATGCAATGAGCAGTTTAAAATTTGGACTAGCATAATCAACACTAAAAGACATTGCAAGGGGGAAATCACTTGCCGTGTAATTATTATCTATGAACCTAAGAGATTGCATCTGCTCAAAGCCTTCTGGAGGTGCAGCAACATCTTTACCAGTCTCACAAGTCTTGCTGAAAAAAAGGTCAAATCGAAGAAACATCAGCATAAAAGAGACAAGGTACATCAGCAAACAAGACTATGCAATAGTAATTACAGACCTGAAGCAGTGCAGTGTCACAGCTGCTTTATCCTCCTCCTGCTTTTGTTTGAGTTTAGCAAGCTGCTCGACTTTGGCAAGATAAGCTTCCTGAAAACAAAAATTTGACCATATCAATCATAAAAAATGCAATAAAGCCATCATGCCAAGACCATGTAAATTTGGTATCAAGAGATCGTACACACAAATAGCTACGGAAAAGAAACTAATTGCCAGCCATGCCAAGACCATGTTACATAAAAACTCACCTCAGTCTTCTTTTCTGTCCTCTTCTTTAACTCAATCTTCTTTTCTGTCCTCTTCTTTACCTCAGTATTATTTACTGTCCTCTTCCTCTTTGCCCTCCCAGCTGATGGATTTTCACTGCAGGATACAGAGGAGGTAACTGTTTGTTATCGTTCTACAATTGTCTACGTCAATCTTACAGTGTCTCAAAGCTTTCTAATCATGACTACAACCTATAAACTTATATATATTTCACGATAACTAAGCTAAAACAGGACTTTAGATATATATTGAGAGCTTGCACGGCTGAACCAAAACCCATTGAGACTGTGAACAAAAAACTTAACCACCATCGAAGCACACTAATAGAAAGAAGCTACATGCCAATTCGTTTTTACTAAGGATTCACACAAGGGGAAGCATTATATCGAGAAATACAGCAAATCTGGAAATAATACTTACTGATGAGAAGCGTCTAAAGATTGTTTGAGCTCCTTTTGGGAAACGTAATCTTCCTGTAACGAAATAAGAAACCAAACTCATCAAGACCCAAGTTCTCACACTTCAAAGACAGCCAAAGAGCAAAATAAATCAATAAACGATTTGGAAACCTACCGGAAAGGCTTCCTTCATAGCCATCTGAGTGAGTTCCTCCTCCGTATAAATCTTGAGAGAATCAGTTCTGCATCAAAAATCCTCCCAATTACAAAACTTAATGTATGAAAACCAGATTTTCACAGATAAAGAAAAGAGCCAGATGATGCAGGAATACGTACGAGACATCAAATTGCTGAAAAGAGGAAGTAGACTCCAGAGATAAATGAGTTTCCAAATCCTGTAGTACATTGAGAAATGAAGACTTGAATTCAGGGACGGTAGAAATATTTCCAACCATGTTTGGCAGATAAATGGGGCCACCTCTGGGTACCACTGAAGTAGTGGTCTTATGTTCACTGCTCTCTCCCTCGCTCTCGCTATCACTCTCCATTTTTGATATGTGCTTCTTGACTATCTCTCTCTGGTAGCACCACATGTAATACAGCCAGTGAAAAAAAGTACCAAACTACTTACAAGGCATAATAGAAGAAAGGTAAATATTAATTCCTAAAAGATTGCAAGGAGAAAAATCACAAAGCATGACCTTACAAGAATGTTCTTTACGTGCACATGAATAGATCAAGAAAGAAAGTGCTCAACAATACCTTGGAAAAGAATTGCAAGTCAATAAATCACTGAATAAGAATTGAAGATCATAAAACTAGATTAAAGTCAATAATGGAAGTGATATGGAGATATACATATACATGTGCACATACAAGAACAACCATCAGCATCATTCACAATGTCAATGTCACCACTATATTAAACATAGATAAAAACGCCATTGAAAGCAGTATAAGTATAATTCAAATCATTCTTCAAACAAACGCCAGTGAAAGCAGTATAAGGTTTAGCAAGGGAAGGAGAAGCACAGTGATACCATGGATGCTGGAAAGAGTTCAATTTTACTTAAATGGAAGAAAATAAACTTACTGGTTCGAAATGAGAGGAGACGAAGATGAGTCTTTGAAATTTCCCAGAGAATTGAGGTTTTAGGTTTCGATTCTTGAAATAACGAAACTCAATTTTGCGACTTCTGGCAACGCTAAATTAGGGTTTCAGAAGGAGATAGGATTGGGCTTTAGCTTTATTCGATGCGATTGAGGATTATTGCAGTCATCAATCGAAGGAGCTCGTCGTCGTCGTGGAGAAGAAGAAGAAGAAGATTCGAAATATATAAGAAGTCTCTGAATCTGTAATAAAACCCGGTTCAATTGTTTAACCGGTGCTTTATTTGATTCGTCTGTCAATCATCAAACCGGTAATTTATTGGTACCGTTCAAGTCAACAAACCCAACTACCTTATATAATATGGGCCTGTGGCCCATTTAATTATAACTTATATAACAACAATACAAATTGTCAAATAACAAACATGATCCAAATGATCAGGACTGAGGAACATGTTATATTATCAGTATCCTTGTCTCAATTTTTTGACCAACTTATCTCAGTTGTTCATCAAAGAATTATGTGTGTCAGATGATCCATTGTTCTTAATTTCAGAGCTGAGACAAGACCAATCGAAAGGAGGAATCGCATAAGGACCCTTTAGTATACCCTCAGCCATCAATCTGTAGGCAGCCTCAGTCATATGAATACCGTCCCAACTCACATACTTTGAAGGATCGTCACAACATTCAGGTACTTGAGTCCCACGTTTCCTACCTAAGGTGAAGTTAAACGGTCCTCCTAAATCGCAGCAAGCGGGCAAGGGTCTGCTTATGAACCCTGATTGGATAATTAACTAACTCGGTTAGAAAATTAAATCAATGAAATCTTTTTGTGTAGGTTGAGAAGAAGGATCAAGAAGTCTACTAACCGAATTTGGCTGGTTCTTGAGAAAGTTGCAACAGCGCGTTGTAGTAGTCAGCGTATATGATGTTGACATGAGGGTACAACTTCTGAAGTCTTTTGAGTTCTGCTTGAAGCTGCTCGTCGTGGTATTCTGCAAACTTGTTCAGCCATTTCAAACATCCTGTTAGAGGATCGTATTCCTCCACGTTTGGTGTTCGGTATAATTTTAAATAGACTACTGAGCATCCGAGCGGGAACTCCCCGGGCACCAGAAATGTTTTTTCCCCCATACCGATCAACTCCTGTACTTTTTATGCTTTCAAATTTCAATACTCAGTCCCAAAACTTTGAACTGCTGTATTTAGAAAGAGAAGTGTTTACCGTGATCGCAGAAGAGATGGTTCCAATAACAAGTGGAACCAGCTCTTTGATCTCTTCAATGTTTTTCCCCGCGAAGAATGCGTAATTATAGTCATTCCCTCCAATTTCTCCCATGAGAATCAAAGCATTTTCTATCATATCTCTGCAGTCTAAACAAGATTACACAAAGTAAGCCATTATTTTACAAGTGAGCTCGATTCATTGCATCTTGGAGAGTTTAACAAAAACGGGTAGGATCTCTAAGAACATCTCAAAACAGAACGTTTTTTTTTTCTTCACTTTTGTTGTGACTTTCTACTTCTTAATCAAAGATGAACTGTCAGAAACTATTCCATGCTGCTAATATTTCATAACTCTAGTACGATACGATGGGAGCGTAAGAAATCAGATTTGATATTCTAATCATATAAAACAGGAAACACCAAATACAGAAACTAAATGTTGATCTTCCAAACCTGAAGGAGAGCCACATAAGCTAGATAAACTCTCCTTGAAGCTCTGAAGCTGAACGGCTAAACTAACGTTGGTGTAAGGAAAATGAATTCCTCTCTCTTCAAGAAAGGAACGTTCCAGTGCCGTTGCTCCCCCAACCGCGAAATTAACTCCCTTCTCAAAGTTTGCATTTTGAGATCCGTAAAAAGGAGGCACAAGCGGAAAACCCAAGAATTCAGCTGTGAGAACAGAACCAAAGAAAAGAACTGTAAATTCAGGGATCAATAAGGCTTCTTCACTACACTTAATGGTTTTGTATTTAGATAATCTCAGCTTTTAATTAATCAAACTTGCTACTCAAGCCAAAGTATCAAGAAGAAGTTAAAGGAAGAGTTACACACAAACAATAAAACAGGGGAAGAGTTACATCAGGAAAAAAAGACAAAGAAAGAGCCAAAGATCTTTTGGTTTCTTCTCACAAATTTTTCAACAAGAAGCAGAAAACATTGATCATCTAATTGTCTGCTAGGCGTTTAGATTAACAAAAAAATTACATAATATGTAAGTGCTTTATGCTTATACATTAAAATCCATTGTTCATTTGTGTTTTTCAAGCTCGGTGAAACCAAATAATATTACAAGTCCATGATTCAATTATGCTCCAGAGAAAGTCTATGGAGCTAGACCTAAACACGTGTCATGCCAATCCAAAATAGTACATGCTCCAAACTTTTTGGAACTTTTTTTATGGAAGTAAATCGTACCAACTAAGATCTGAATTTCTACCTTCGTACACACTCTCACTCACACCTCAACTAAAGAAAACGTACCAATGAAATCGATGATGAGGCGGCCGTTTGAGAAACGGCCGGTCGGATGGTGGAAGAAGGTTTCTCCGTACGGTAGAAACGCAGCCTGAGGGAGATTGTTAGGATCCGAGAGGCCGAGCAAGTTTCCGGTGTCGGCAATAGAATCGCCGAAACTAATGATCGATTTGAAATTCCGGCACGGTGGTTCCGAGTTCACAATAGTGAGAAAAACAGTAGATAAAAAAATGCTCATGAGCTTCATGACCAGAGTAGCCATGAAAGGCCAGAGGGTGGAAACTTTTCAAAATAACTTTTTTGGAAAGAGACACTATTGGCTCGGAGACAAAAACAAAATCAGTTATTGGATGCAGTAGACACTAGACATAGTATCTTTTTTTTTATGTGGTTTAGGGATGAGCACAAATGGTAGCATGGTTGATGGTTGTCTCTATTATTTCTTCATAGGGATAATTTGTTTTTTTCCTTTATAATGATCATAGTGGCCAACAATGATTGAGATCACAATGGTAATACTCGAACCTTCACTTTCAAACTCTATGACGAATCTTTTAACTATTGGACCACCATGAATGGGTTCTCGATATTAATTGTTGTGGTTAATGAAATGATTTAATTACAATTTTGATATCTAGTACATATTTTTGGGTAATTACTCTAGTTATGGGTGTGATTGGTTAATCACTAGAGTAAAAGAATGGAAGTTGGATGTATTGAAATAGAGGTAAGAAAATTAATTGAAGTTGCAAGTTATCCATGCCGTCACTGGTTTGTTACTCTCCATATGGAGTGGGACTATACATGAACATGCCAAGAATACCCTTTAAATTTATCTCACATAACAACAATACAAATTGTCAAATACATGCATGAACATGATCTAAGACAAGCACTAAGGAACATACATGTTTTTTATCAGTATACTTTCTCTCAAATTTTTGACTATCAGTTGTTCATCGAAGAATTCTATGCGTCAGATGATCTACTGTTTTTAATTCCAGAGCTTAGGCAAGACCAATCGAAAGGAGGAATCGCATAAGGTCCCTTTAGTATACCCTCAGCCATCAATCTGTACGCAGCCTCGGTCATATGAACACCGTCCCAAGCAATATACTTTGAAGGATCTTCACAACTTTCAACTATATCAGTCCCACATTTCCTACCTACGGTATAGTTGTACGGTCCTCCTCCGCCGCAACAAGCTGACAAGGGTCTGTCCATGAATCCTGATTGCATAATTAACTTGGTTAGCAAATTAATCAATGTACTTTACTTAGTAAAAGGATCAAGAAGTCTAACCAAATTTGGATGGTTCTTGGTAAAGGCGCAACAACGCATTGTAGTAGTCAGCATATATGATGTTGACATGAGGGTACAACTTCTGAAGTCTGTTGAGTTCTGCTCGAAGCTGCTCCCCGTGGTTTTCTCCAAACTTGTTCATCCATGTCAAACATCCTGTTAAAGGATCGTAGTCTTCCTTGTTTGATGTTTGATGTGATGTCAAATAGAATACTGAGCATCCGACTGGGAACTCTCCGGGCACCAGAAATGTTCTTCCCCCCATACCAATCAACTCCTGTGCTATCGAATATTCGTTGTTACCAGTCAGATCAAGAATTTGTTAAGATATTCAGAAAGATAAATGTTTACCGTTATTGCAGAAGAAATAGTAGTGATCACCAGGGGAGTCAGCTCCTTGATCTCTTCAATGCTTTTGTCCACGAAGAATGCGTAATTATAGTCATTCCCTCCAATTTCTCCCAAGAGAATCAAAGCATTTTCTATCATATCTCTGCAGTCTAAAACAAGATTACACAAAGTAAGCCATTATACTAGAAGTGGTCACTAACCATTACCCACAACAGAACGAATGTTTTTTTTTAAGAGCAACCGCACTAGAAATCAGATTTGATATTCTAATAGCCATAGAAAACAGGAAACACCAAATACAGAAAATAAATAGTTAATCATCCCAACCTGAAGGAGAGCCACATATGCTAGGCAAACTCTCCTTGAAGCTATTAAGCTGAACGCCTAGACTAACATTGGTGTAAGGAAAATGAATTCCTTTCTCTTCAAGAAAGGAACGTTCCAGTGCCGTTGCTCCCCCTACCGCGAAATTAACTCCCTTCTCAAAGTTTGCATTTTGAGATCCATAAAAAGGAGGCACAAGCGGTAAACCCAAGAATTCAGCTGTGAGAACAGAAACAAAGAAAAGAACATGAATTAGTTAAGAGCTCTAAGTTGAGGAACTATTAATAAGGACTTAACCACACTTAATGGTTCTGTATTTAGATGATTTCAGGTTTTATACAATCAAACTTGCTAATCAAGTAAACCCATTAAGAAGAAGAAAATAAAGAAAGGGCTAAAGAAATTTTTGGTTTCACATTTGTACACACTTACTTACTCACACCTTAAAAGAAACTCTAAAGTCTAAGGACACAATAAACCTACCGATGAAATCAATGATGAGACGGCCGTTGGAGAAACGGCCAGTTGGGTGGTGGAAGAAAGTCTCTCCATACGGTGGAAACGCCATATGAGGAAGATCGTTAGGATCTGAGAGGCCAAGCAAGTTTCCAGTGTCGGCAATCGAATCTCCAAAACTAATGATCGATTTGAATTCCCGGCACTGAGTTTCCGAGCTGACGTTAGTAACAAGAAAAGTTGATAAAAAGATGAAGATGAGGAGCTTCATCAAGAAAGTAGAATCGAGAGACGCCATTGCCAGAGAGCCGGAGGTTGGTCTCCGTCGAGATCTCTTTTTAATAGTGATGTTGATTTGTCAAAATAGTCTTTTGAAAATGCCCCACTGGCCACACTACAAACGATAAAATAATAATAATGATAAAAAAGTTCAATTATTGGATGCAGTATGGTTGTGTTTTGTTTTGACACAATGATATTTGTTGATTGTTCAAATTGATATTTGAGTTTCTTTTTTTGTGGTAGATGAAACAAATTATCTACGATTTTTCGTATTGGCCTTTTAGCAAAAAGACACACAATACATTCTTGTGAGCAAATCCCAATATTATCTTCGAGGATCAACTCTCATCAGTCATTACTGTCGTATCTGTCTAGTTTCCTCTCTTTCGTCACTCTCTCTCTCTTGGACGGTTGGACCCATCACTGAGGCTTTTATTTTGGCTTTGTCATTTAATTTAGCACCATTTTTTTTCTTTTATAAGAAAGTAAATATCATTGAAATGAGAGTTCTTTTTTTTTTTGGTTTTGCTGTCATCACTGAAATGAGAGTTAGGTTTTACACAAAGTGATAATCCTAACAACATTACATGAAGCTTAAATGGTTCCATTGGAAAAAAAAGAAGAAGAATTTTGGCGTTATTTCGACAGGATTATATTTTACTAATTTTCTTAATTTTATCCCTTTTAAATGAACTAGTAAAACATGAAATAATATAACATATCATTTAATATTGTTAATAATATATACTCTGCAAACCCGGAACACCCAAGGGTAAGAAAACAAAAAATATGTTTTTTCTCACTATTTCTCTTATCTCTCAAACTTTGAGACAACCTTGTATCATCTGTTCATCAAGAATCTAAGTATCTAATTACTTCTTATTCATAATCTCGGAGCTGAGGCATGACCAATTGAAAGGAGGAATAGCATACGGTCCCTTGAGTAAGCCCTCAGATATCCATCTGTATGCGGCCTCAGTCATATGAATGCCATCCCAATTCACATACTTTGAAGGATCATTGCAGTATTCAACTCCTACACTCCCACATCTTCTACTAAAGTTAAAGTTGTATGATCCTCCTAAACCGCAACAAGCGGGCAAGGGTCTCTTTATAAACCCTGATTGGATAATAAATCGGTTAATTAGTGAATCAAATGAGTGACTTGGTTGTGTATATTCTATAAAGGAATCAAGAAGGCTAACCGAATTTGACTGGTTCTTGGAAAAGGCGCAACAAAGCGTTGTAGTAATCAGCATATATGATGTTGACATGAGGGTACAACTCCTTGAGTCTGTTGAGTTCTTTCTGAAGCTGCTCGTTGTAATATTCTGAAAAATCGTTCAGCCATGTCAAACATCCTGTTAGAGGATCATACTCTTCCTTGTTTGATGTTTGGTATAATGTCAAATAAGATGCTGAGCATCCGAGCGGAAAATTTCCAGGAACTAGGAATGTTCTTCCTCCCATACAGACCAATTCCTAGATTCAACATTCAGTTTCAAAACAACGTAACATGTACATGTTTTTTTCTTAACAAACTAATAAGCGTAGATACAAGTATGTTTCGGAACTGGCTGATCAGAAATGTTTACCGTAATTGCCAAAGAAATAGCAGTGACCACAAACGGAACCAGCTCTTCAACTTCCTCGATGGCTTTGCGCTGGAAGAGTGCGAAATTAAAATCATTTCCTCCGATCTCTCCCATGAGAATCAAAGCATTTTCAATCATATCTCTACAATCTAAATACAAAACGGCAATATAAAGTATTAAAACTTATAGCAATATATATATATATAAGCATATAATAAAATCAAATTTGGATAGTTTGATCATATAAAGCATGAAACAATAAATACAGAGAATAAAAAGATGAGCTTCCCAACCTGAAGGTGAGCCACATAAGTTGGGCAAACTTTCCGTGAAGCTCCTAAGCTGAACGCTCAGACTGACGTTGGTGATATCAGAATGAATTCCTCTCTCTTCAAGAAAGGAAGTATCTAATGCTGTTGCTCCCGCGACCGCGAAATTAACTCCCTTTTCAAAGTTTGCATTTTGAGATCCATAAAAAGGAGGCACAAGCGGAAAACCCAAGAACTCAGCTGTGAACAGAACCAAAGCATGAGAGAGCGCTGAAAGTTGAGGAACCTAAACCACACTCATTTTTTTTCGATAAAAAACTTAACAACCCTTAGATGATTTTAGGTTTTATACGATAAAACTTGCTATTCAAGCAAGATCATCCAGGAGAAGAAAACAAAGTACGGTAACTGAAGATAAGTAAGAACTCTTTTGGTTTCACCTTCGTACACACTCACAATCACTCACAGCTTAAGTAAATAAACGTACCAATGAAATCAATGATGAGGCGTCCGTCAGAGTAACGACCAGTTGGGTGGTGGAAGAAGGTTTCTCCGTATGGCGGAAACGCGGAAGCAGGGAGATCGTTAGGATCCGAGAGATCAAGTAAGTTTCCAGTGTCGGCAATTGAATCTCCGAAACTAATGATTGATTTGAAATTCCGGCATTGCGTTTGCGAGTTCACAGAAGTGACCAAAAGAGTAGATAATAAGAAGCTCACGAGCTTCATCGCCAGAAGAGAATCTGGAGATGCAATGGAAAGGCTCGACGGTTGCTCTCCTTCTCTTTCTATTCTCTAGGAGAAAAAATAATAATCAAGTTTTAGGTAGAGAGACACTAGAGAAGGGCTTCTCTTGCCGTGTTTGTCTATTTTTCATATTTGATGCAGTGGTTGCAACTTTGAGGCTACTTTGAAAGAAATGTTATACCCTCCCCATAATTTTCTTTTTTTATTTTGTTTCCTATGGTAATATTTGATGAGAAAATATTGGATTTTATGTTATTTAAAATATAAATAGGTTAGAACCGTGAATGCACCACTGGCGCATTGGTTAATGGTTTAAAGGCTTGGTCTGATCATATTCATTCGTGTTTGGTGGTTGGTATAAATGTCAAATGGATGCTTTCCCTCCATAAAGAGTAGATATATAAAAAGAGGCTCATCACATTGTTAGGGGTAGGCTTATCCCCCTCTTAAAAGGTCCGACCCAGTTCAATAAAAGCCCAAAAAGAGGAAAAGATGTGGCCCGTTGACGAGGCACGTCATCAAGAAAAGGAGGGGTATTCCTGACATTTGACCTAGGAGAGAATCGACAAGGTACCTCATAAATACCTAAATAGCAAGTTATGTCAGAGATCCGTAATTTCCGCTGACAGAGTGAGAAAGAGTACAAATCGATCTCCAGCTAAAGACACGACTTCGCCGAACCCACTGCTCGTCGGTAACAGCTCGTCCAAGATTACTTCCAGTTCGGCTTAGGCCATTTATTAGCTAATTCGACGAGTAACTTCCCTTATAATCAGTCCGTATATGCCTAAATTTGGGCTCATTTATAAAGAGAGATTTTTTTAACTTACTTTGAGCTCTCGTTTATTACTTGTTTGATTTCATACATCAACAAACATATGAGAATCTAGAGACGCCATGCTACAAGTCCGAACTGACTTTCTATCTTTTATCTTCTTTTTGGATATATATATATATATATATATTTATTATGATTTTCAACTTATTTTGTTTTGGAAAAGTTATATAGAACCAAATGGCTGGGATGGACCGATGAGTCATGACTCAATGAGCGTTTCTTGTTGTCTAATAAATTAGGGTGGGGCAAGGCAATTTACTTTATATAGCTTACCAACTTTGCATTCGTATCGTTTAAAACGGGCACTTTGACAAGATCTGTTTTGCACATCTTTATTTATTACTGATTCCGAAGTTCGGGAGCTGTATTTTTCCGGGGGCCAAGGCCATCAGATGAGCCATTCCTTCATGTCCCTCCAACAAGAGCACTTAAAAGTATATTGTCTCTGTTTTTGATTAATCGAAAATTTAAACTTTTCACATATATTAAGAAAATATATTAAATATTAATTATAAATACATTATTTTGTGATTTACTATTTTCCACAATTTTAAACCAATAATATTCAATCATCTTTTTTGAAGTCTACAATTCATCATCATCAATAAGTAATAAAAAATACATAAAATCCTAAAAATATATCTTTTTGCAACAAATGGTTTCTAGGAATAGGAGAGTATATGATTTTCTCATTATCACTTTTGTCTCTCAAAGATTCACACAAGCTTGTGCCAAAGTAAATTGTTTGTCTAATGACTCCTTGTTTTTAATCTCAGATCTGAGGCAGGACCGATCAAAAGGAGGAATCGCATACGGTCCTTTGAGTATTCCATCAGCTATCCATTTGTATGCAGCCTCAGTCATATGAACGCCGTCCCAGCCCACATACTTTGAAGGATCCTTACAAGATTCCACTCCTACACTCCCACATTTTCTAGTGAAGTTGAAGTTGTACGGTCCTCCTATACCGCAACAAGCATGCAAGGGTCTGTCCATGAACCCTGACAGTATAATTGATAGGAAAAATTGTCAATACTAAATTAGTGACTTGGGTGTGTAGATTCAGTGGAGGAATCAAGAAGTCGAACCGAATTTGGCTGGTTCTTTAAAAAGGCGCAAGAGAGCGTTGTAGTAGTCAGCATATATGATGTTGACATGAGGGTTGAGCTTCCTAAGTCTGTCGAGTTCCGTCTTAAGTTGCTGGCTGTGGTATTCGCCAAACTTGTTCAGCCATTTCAAACATCCGGTTAAAGGATCGTATTCTTCCTTGTTTGATGTTTGATATAATGTCAAATAGACTACTGAGCATCCGATAGGGAACTCTCCGGGCACTAGAAAAGTTTTTGCCCCCATACCAATCAACTCCTGGATTCAACATTCAGTCCCAAAGGAACAAACACATTATAGTTCTGACAAACAAATCAGCAGATAGAAATCTGTTTCACTCGGTCTAAGGACTAGCAATTCAAGAATTTCGGTTAAAAATGTATACCGTGATTGAAGAAGAAATAGTAGCGATCACAAACGGAACCAGCTCTTTAACTTCCTTAATGGGTTTGCGTTCGAAGAATGGGAAATTATAATCATTCCCTCCAATCTCTCCCATGAGAATCAAAGCATTGCCAATCATATCTCTACAATCTAAAAAACATATACAAGTGAAGTGAGCTCAGTCACTAAAGATACATAATAATCACTCCATCGAAAAAAAAGGAAAAATTGATCTTCACTACCTGATGGAGAGCCACATATATTTGGTAAACTTTTCTTGAAGCTCTTAAGCTGAACTCCTAAACTAACGTTGGTGTGTGGATGAATTCCTCTCTTCATAAGAAAGGAACTTTCCAGTGCCGTTGCTCCAGCTACCGCGAAATTAACGCCTTTATCAAAGTTTCCATTTTTAGATCCAAAGTAAGGAGGCACATAAGGAAGCCCCACAAATTCAGCTGTAAATAGAAAAATTAGAGAATCAGTTAAGATCTCATACTGTTAACTTGCAGTTCAAGAAACAATAAAAACAGAGAAAGAGTTTAATAAGCAAACCTAAGAATTCAGCTGTGAATAGAACCCAGTAAATATCCCAATATTTTCAGATTTTAATACAAATTAAATCGAAAAGTTGCGACAAAACAAGAAACCATAGGAAGAGTTTAGATAATAAAAAAACAAAGAAGAGTAAGAAAGAGCCATAACTAATTAATAACTCTTTGGTTTCTTTTAACATGGGTTCAGACACAATTATCAGTTATATTATTATTTTTTGGATTCTTCTCAGAGACCATAATTTGATATTCACTCACATATCGAGTCATATAGAAAGAGAAGTACCGATAAAGTCCATGATGATGCGGCCGTCGCAGGAACGGCCGGTTGGGTGGTGGAAGAAAGTTTCTCCGTATGGTGAAAACGCAGTCACAGGAAGATTGTTACGATTAGAGAGACCGACCAAGTTCCCGGTGTCGGCAATCGAATCGCCGAAACTGATGATCGACTTGAAATTCCGGCACGGCGTTTCCGAGCTCACGATAGTGACAAGAAGAGTTGTAAAAAGAAAGATCAGTAGAGCATCTAGAGACGCCATGGGAGTGGTCAGGAGTGACTTTTATTTCTTTGAAATTTTTTATTTTACAAATCATTTGTTTTGGGAAAGTTATATAGAGGCCAATGGATGGACCAATGAGTCATCATGACTCATGACTAAACGAGGATTTTAGTTGTAATAAATAAAGCAATTTACTTTCTAATAACAACAAAACTTTGTATTGGTATGTGTGACCACCTACTTTGTATTGGTATGTGACGGCCCGGTATGTGACCTCCCTCTAACCACCCTTCTATAAAACGCGTAATTGGACTTCTAACCACCATATATAAAAGGGATATGTATTTGCGGCTTATTTGCAAGCTATTTGCAGGTTATTTACGAGCTTGCTGATTATTTACAAGTTATTTGTTCTTTACCATATTGTAATTTGATTTTGAGTTTCACTTCAATTGTTTTTGTTAATAACATTGTATTATTTATGCGGATTTAAAACCGGATAATAACACAACAACGATAATAACAAAAACAACTAAATTAAATATCGTAGTCTTAAATAAAACCATTATCTAAATCGTATTAATATAATGATTTGAAAAGATTAGTTTGGTATGGTATTGAAGACTAGAAGCTAAGTCAAATTGATCCGTCATATGAACGCCGTCCCAGTTCACATACTTTGAAGGATCACTACAATATGTCACTTCTGCACTCCCACATTTTTTACTTAAGGTGAAGTTGTACGGTCCTCCTAAACCGCAACAAGCGGATAAGGGTCTGTCCATGAACCCTAATTGTACAATTAATTAAATGATTAACTCCATTATCAAATTGAATCAATGAACTTGGTTTTGTAGGTAAACTAGAAGGATCAAGAAAGCTAACCAAATTTGGCTGGTTCTTGAAAAAGACGCAAAAGAAGTAGTCACCGTATATGATTTTGACATGAGGGTAAAGTTTCCTGAGTCTGTTCAGTTCTGCCTGAAGCTGCTCGTTGTAGTATTCTGAAAAATCGTTCAGCCATGTCAAACATCCTGTTAGAGGATCATACTCTTCCTTGTTTGATGTTCGGTTTAATGTCAAATACGTTGCTGAGCATCCAACCGGGAAATTTCCAGGAACTAGGAATGTTCTCCCTCCCATATTGACCAACTCCTATATTCAACATTCAGTACCAAAACAAAAAACACATTACAGTTTTTGACAATTCTACTCGTTCTCGGGACTCGCTGATCAAGAATGTTTACCGCGATTGCAGAAGAAATAGTAATCACCAGCGGAACCCCAACTCTTTGACCTCACTAGTTTTGCGCACAAAGAATGCGAAATTAAAACCATTCCCTCCAATCTCTTCAATGAGAATCAAAACATTTCCAATTATATATCTCTAAAATCTAAAAGCAAAAGCAAAATACAATTCACTGCAATAACGTAATAATGATTCCACTAGGAAAAGGAAAAGCTGATCTTCAGTACCTGTAGGTGAACCACATAGATTTGGTAAACTCTCCTTGAAGCTCTTCCGCTGAATTCCCTAACTAATGTTGCTGTGAGGATAATGAATTCCTCTCTCCTCTAGAATGGAACTTTCTAGCCGAAATTAACTCCTTTCTTAAAGTTTCCATTTTTAGATCCATAAAAAGGAGGCACATGTGGTAACCCCAAAGAATTCAGCTGTAAAGAGAAATTTGCAGAATCACTTAAGGTTCTCATACTGTTAACTTTCAGCTCAAGAAAGTAATTAAAAACAGAGAAAGAGTTTACATAAGAAACCCTAATCAATAATATCCAGATGTATTCAGGTTTTTATACAAGTTAAACCGAAAAAAGTTGTGCCAGAACAAGTAAACAGAGGTTCAAACGCAATTATCAGTTTTTTTTTTTTTTGTTCTTCTCAGAGATAAACACAGTCAATTTAAAGCTGAAAAAAAAAACAGTCAATTTAAAAAGTTTAAAACACTCCAATTGAGACCTACCATCGTAACCATGATTCGATACTTCACTCAAATTTTAAACTCACACATTCCTAGGCGCTCACTCACATGAGTTATATATACAGTATATAGAAAGAGAAGTACCGATAAAGTCGATGATAATGCGGCCGTTGCAGGAACGGCCGGTTGGGTGGTGGAAGAAGGTTTCTCCATACGGCGGAAACGCAGTCATAGGAAGATGGTTACGATCAAAGAGACCGACCAAGTTTCCAGTGTCGGTAATTGAATCGCCGAAACTGATGATCGACTCAAAATTCCGGCACTGCGTTTATGAGCTCAGCTCACGATAGTGACAAAAAGAGTAGATAAAAAGAAGCTCACTAGAGAATCTTGAGACGCCATGCGAAAGGTCCGAAGTGACTTTTTATCTTTCTGTTTTAATTATTTTATCTTGTTTCTTAGTTTGGAAAACAACAAAAGAAAGGTACTGATGCGTATCTGTCTCAATGATTTTCTTGTTGTATTATAAATAAGGGTGGGCCAAGACTGCAAAACTTTGTATGGACTTTAAAACTTTGTATTTGTATCGTTTACGTGAACTTCTAACCAACCTCTAGAAAATATCTACAGGTTATTTTTCCCGTTTTATTACTTGCTTATTCGCATGTTATTAATGAGTTATTATTTGTAGGTTATTTACGACCTAGTTGCCGATTATTTACCATGATTTTTACTTGCTTGAGTTCCAATTCAAATCATAATCTAGTAGAGGCTATTAATATATCAGTTTGTAAGGAATTTACATTTCTTATAGAGAAAATCAATAAGAAAATTTAGGAAGGTGTACAGAGAAATGCATACCAATGAAGTCGATGATGAGGCGGCCATCGGAGTAACGGTGGAAGAAGGTCTCTCCATAAGGCAAGAATGTGGTTCGAGGAAGATGATTTGGGTCGGAGAGATGAAGAAAGTTTCCAGTGTCGGAGATTGAATCGCCGAAGCTGATGATCGATTCATAACGTTGAAATGACCCTGAGCCTACGACTCCGGTGGCTATAGTGATCAGAAAACTTGTGAGCTTCCAAAAATGAAACTAATTTGAAGACGACATTGGATGGCATGCCGGCCCGTTCATAAAGCATATGAAGTAAAAATATATAGTAATTATATGCTTTAGGCTACAAAGAAATATAGTAATTTATGGTTATGTGAATTAATAATATTAACCGATTAGGCGATTACATGCTACTAATGAATCGTGCCTCTTCGTAGGAATATGCATGTATAGTCTAGGCTGTTATAGTTGATTGATTGATGACTAGCATGATATTTATCCCTTGTACATGAAAATCAGTCTTAACTCTTTTACACGTTCAATTCTCAAACATTTTTTTTTCTTTGATTCAGTTTTATTTGTGCATAAACATTCGTTTTGTTGAGCAATACATTGTATATTTTAACCAAAAAAAAACATATAAGAAGTCCTTCATCGCTTTGTGTTGCATTTGGACGAAAAGAAACGTCCGCACTAAGTATTTATACTCACTCTTGTCTAGATCATGCAAATCATGGCCACACTCGTGATCAGTTAAGGTCTAGAGTCTAGGGGCAATGTGTTAATTGTTTAAGGAGGATCGGTACGATGTTGGTTTTGGGTGCTAGCTAGAAGAATATTTAAATATGTAATGAAGAAATATGAGTAATTGGTTCAGCAATTTTTAAAGTAGGTTTCTTAATCTCAAATTTATGGATTTTACAATGAAACCATCTGTTTTCTTCTAAATCACTAGCGTAAGATTAAAGAAAAATAAATAAATATGAAGGATGAATGATTACAATAAGCTTGAAATAGTATCCAATTTTCTTATTTATTGATAGAATTAAAAAATACATCAAGATTTAACCACATCAAGTTGTAATATAATGATGAATAAAATAAAAAGCTAAAATTAAGAATTTGTTAACGTTGAAAATGGAATTTTCTCAAGAAGGGATCGATAGCTAAACCGAGGCTTTCGTATCTTGGATTATATAATCCATTTTGTATCCTGAAATAAAAAGTAAAACGTATTTATTAAGTATGTTACTTAATAGTGAATGATGAAATATAGTATGATACCAATATAAAAGTAGAAATTATACTCTTTATCAACAAAAAAAAAATTACCTTATATAAAAATATCCAATATATATGTAAAGGTTATATATCAAAATATTGTAAGTAATAATCATGTAACTAACTGAGATTGTTGTAGTTTTGTGGTCTGGGTCAAATGTTTTTTTTTTGGACAAGAAACAAATAACTACTTAATGATTATGTTCATGAAGAGAATTATATTTCCATTGTTAATTAATGAGTGATAACTGATGAGTAGATAATTTAATTAGATCGAGAGCCTTACGAAAATATAAACGTATGGAATAGCTTGTGAAAAATAGATAGAAAATGTGTAACGATAAATGAAAAAGATGGGAAAGTATAAACCTTGGTTCAGCAGGATTGGCTGCATTTGAATCAACATTTCTTTCTGCCGAGACTATCCTCTGCATTATTTAATTAAATTGAATTAATTTTAATTTTCTCATCAATTCTGTCTATTTTGGAATATGTAAAGAAATATTACCATTAGTTGAGCAGCCGATGATGATTCTCCATTCTCAAAGTGATTTTGATAGCTTCTTTGTCGACGCCCCAGAACACTACTGCTCTGTAATATCCACATGTTATCAATAACACTTTTTGGCACATATATACTACTTCAAATTTTTTTGATAAAAATTAAAATCATACATATAGATAAACAGTTATATATGTGTAAATGTTCTTTCAACATCACATAACTAGTTTCATTCATGGAATGAAGAATATATATGGTACCTGTATGGGAGTAGTGAACGAGTTTGTGCATGGACGTATTTGGCTAGAAGTGCCTACTGGAGGGCACCTAAAGTTCGACAGAGGCTGACTTACCAAATCTTGCACGTTGCCATGATGCTGCCTATTAAAATGAGAAAAGTAAATGAGTCTAAATATTAAATTATCAAAACTGAAAAAATATGAAGTGAACAAAAACGTAATATATATCCCTTGTACTAGATTACGTGATCGACTTGATACCTGGTAGAGCTCGATGGCATTGGAAGTTGAGAAGAGGTCATAGAAGTTCTATTTTGTCGAAGATAAGTCCTTCTTCTGAAGTTTGCTCCATCAAAAAGAAAAAAAAAAGTATGTATGTTAAGGCAATTATATATCGTAAAGAAAGACATGAATTAAAGAAGACTGAATTTAGAATATTTTTAGCTAAAGAATAATATATACCTGGTGGACCTGGACCGCATTGGAGGTTGAGGAGGGATCACAGAAATTTGAGTTTCTAGAGGATAAGTCCTGTGTTAACCCAAATAGTTTAACTAATAAATTTATAATTATGTATTTATGTAATTTCAACTATTTAGTGAATAAAATATGTAAGGGATCAATTCCACCAAAAAAAGAGATATAGTTTTAAAATTTATATATAATAAATAAGGGACAAAATTTAGAATAATATATCAAAAATAATATAATATACCTAGTGGAGCTCGATGTTATTTGAGATTGTGGAGGAAACATAGAAATTTGATTTTCAAAAGGATAAATCCTGCGTTTATCCGAATAATTTAGCAAAAAAATACATAATATGTTTTTATGTAATTGTAACTATTTGGTGAACAAATATATAAGAAATTTTCATATCAAAAGACAAAATGAATTTAAAAATAATATATATATATAAGAGATTAAATTAGAATAATATATACCTAGTGGAGCTCGATGTCATTTGAGATTGTGGAGGAAGCATAGAAATTTGATTTTCAAGAGGATAAATCCTGCATTTATCCGAATAATTTAGCAAAGAAATCCATAATATGTTTTTATGTAATTGTAACTATTTGGTGAACAAATATATAAAAAAAATTCATATCAAAAGACAAAATGAATTTAAAATAATATATATAAAAAGATTAAATTAGAATAATATATACCTAGTGGAGCTCGATGTCATTTGAGATTGTGGAGGAAGCATAGAAATTTGATTTTCAAGAGGATAAATCCTGCGTTTATCCGAATAATTTAGCAAAGAAATCCATAATATGTTTTTATGTAATTGTAACTATTTGGTGAACAAATATATAAAAAAAATTCCATATCAAAAGACAAAATGAATTTCAAATAATATATATAAAAGAGATTAAATTAGAATAATATATACCTAGTGGAGCTCGATGTCATTTGAGATTGTGGAGGAAGCATAGAAATTTGATTTTCAAGAGGATAAATCCTGCGTTTATCCGAACAATTTAGTAAAGAAATCCATAATATATTTTTATGTAATTGTAACTATTTGGTGAACAAATATATAAAAAAATTTCATATCAAAAGACAAAATGAATTTAAAATAATATATATAAAAGAGATTAAATTAGAATAATATATACCTAGTGGAGCTCGATGTCATTTGAGATTGTGGAGGAAGCATAGAAATTTGATTTTCAAGAGGATAAATCCTGCGTTTATCCGAATAATTTAGCAAAGAAATCTATAATATGTTTTTATGTAATTGTAACTATTTGGTGAACAAATATATAAGAAAATTTCATATTAAAAGAGAGAATGAATTTATAATAATATATATAAGAGATTGAATTGAATAATATATTAAAAATAATATATACCTAGTGGAGCTCGATGTCATTTGAGATTGTGGAGGAAGCATAGAAATTTGATTTTCAAGAGGATAAATCCTGCGTTTATCCGAATAATTTAGCAAAGAAATCTATAATATGTTTTTGTGTAATTGTAACTATTTGGTGAACAAATATATAAAAAAATTTCATATCAAAAGAGAGAATGAATTTATAATAATATATATAAAAGAGATTGAATTAAAATAATATATTAAAAATAATATATACCTAGTGAAGCTCGATATCATTTGAGATTGTGGAGGAATCATAGAAATTTGATTTTGGAGAGGATAAGTACTGCGATAACCCAAATAGTTTAACAAACAAATATATATATATAATTTTTTTTTTTGTATAATT